TCCAATAAATAAGTGTATTGACTAAATTAGATATTCTAATAGTAGTTAAAGTTACTAATTGCTTCACAATTTTCCAGTGCGAATCACCGCTCCTATCCCAATAAATAAGTGTATTGACTAAATTAGATATTCTAATAATAGTTAAGTTTCTAATTGCTTCATAAGCTTCCGGTGTATATCACTGCTCCTATCCCAATAAATAAGTGTATTGACTAAATTAGATATTCTAATAGTAGTTAAAGTTTCTAATTGCTTCACAAACTTCCAGTGTATACCACTGCTCCTATCCCAATAAATAAGTGTATTGACTAAATTAGATGATATTCTAATAGTAGTTAAGTTTCTAATTGCTTCATAATTTTCCAGTGTAAATCACTGCTCCTATCCCAATAAATAAGTGTATCGCTCATATGACTAAAACAAGTTCTAATCGCTTCACAATTTCCGGTGCACATCACTCACTGCTTCCTATCCAATAAATAAGTGTATCGCTCATATGACTAGTAAAACAAGTTCTAATTGCTTCACAATCTTCCAGTGCATATCACTACTCCTATCTAATAAATAAGTGTATTGACTAAATTAGATATTCTAATAAGTAGTTAAGTTTCTAATTGCTCCACAATCTTCCAGTGCACATACATCACTGCTCCTATTCCAATAAATAAATGTATTGACTAAATTAGATATTCTAATAGTAGTTAAGTTACTAATTGTTTCAAATTCTTCCAGTGCAAATCATCGCTCCTATCCCAATAAATAAGTGTATTGACTAAATTAGATATTCTAATAGTAGTTAAGTTTCTAATTGCTTTACAATCTTCCAGTGTAAATCACCGCTCCTATCCCAATAAATAAGTGTATTGACTAAATTAGATATTCTAATAATAGTTAAGTTTCTAATTGCTTCATAAACTTCCAGTGTACATCACTGCTCCTATCCCAATAAATAAATGTATTGACTAAATTAGATATTCTAATAGAAGTTAAGTCTCTAATTGCTTCCGGTGTACATCACCGCTCCTGTTTAATAAATAAGCTAAGTGTAAATATCGTATATATATATAAGTAGTTAAATGTCCGCATCAACGTACAAAAAATATCGGTTTGTTAAACCCGATCGTAATTGCCTGAATAGAATCCAATTATAGAATCGTTTGATTATATCAGACATGTACATTATAACAAATTATGACAAAGAACTATGAAACCTTTTTTAGATTGGACCCTTTTTTAAACAATTAAAAAAAAATGTTGAATAACTCGTGGAGAATGAATGATTTATCTAAAAAACAAACCGTTTATAGGTAGTATATTTACTTTTCGATAAAGTTCCGTCATGGGGTAGTCTGCAGTTTCAGTCTCTAATGTTTCATCCGCTTCATACATTTAGCCAATCTTTCATTTTAAATAATGTTAAATGCATCAAATGATGATATTTTCAAATATAAATGCATGAAACAACACACTCGATTACGGTTTATGTATGGTTTAATTCACATACAGTATTTTTTATCATCACTAATTTAAATTTTATATGTCACAGTTACTATTCCCCTTGATTAATATCTTAAATAAGGATTAGAATGTCTTATGTAATTTATATAACACAATATACATGTATAATTATCACGAACATTTGAACATTTGATTATTTGTTTATCAAAAAAAAAAAAAAATATCATTCATTCAATGAATTGAACTGGGGTCTTTACCCTAAAAAGTTTCAAAATAATAAACAACAAAAATCATTTTTTAACATTCACATGTTTATACATGCTTTATAAAAAAATTCTCTCTTTCAATCTATCTCTCGATCGATTCATACAGTAATTTTTTTTACTCATTTTTATGAATGATGATTAAAAACTGGGATTAAATTTTTTAACATTAACATTATTATGATATTTTATATTTCATCTCTTATGAAAAGGAAGGAATCATAATCGATTTATTTTTTTTTTTATATTAACGGAAATAAACGGAAGTGAGAAAATATAGTTCACCTTTTAAAAAATTATTAAGATCGATCAGATCAGTTAAACTATATTTGGAATTTAATATTTTATGTTCACATGCAGATTTATTATATTTGAATATTACGTAAAAATGTTTTTTTTTACCGAATTTTACAGCTTATTTGATCAACTTTAAAAAACCATAAAAAAAAACTTTGTAATAAACAATGGATAAAAAATATATATATACACTGTATACTGTATATATTAATTAAATTGGTTGAAAAGTTATTGGAAAACAAAAGAAAGGAAACAGAAAGGGAGAATGAATGAAAAACATGAAGAACATTATTGGATATGCAAGATCATCGACCGAAATGATTGTGATCTGTAAGTCGTACGATAAAAAAAAATTTAAATATAAAATTTTATTCGTTCTCAAAGGAAGAAAGAAGGAAAAAAAAGGAAAATTAAAATAAGTAAAACAATATATTCGGAACAACATTCGGAAAGCAACCTATAAAATATGTATACATTGATGTCAATCGATGATAACCTAATCGTAAAATATGCAAATAGTAGAAGTTTGATAATTTTGTTACATAATAATTTTTAACCGGGTAACGTAATAAATACGAATATATATAAATTGAAAATCCGTTTCATAGGAACATTTAATTATTGGACGTGGATCATAGTTACAGAAAGCAAATCTTACAATTTGTAAATTTGTACAATATATTTCAGTATTTAATGGATTTATATACGAACGAAAACTATCATATATTAAAATAATATTTAATCATATGATTTGTTACAATGATTAAGTAAGTAATATTATCAAATTATTCAAAATTATTTTTTTACTTATAGTTTATATGATTATATCCCCTTATTACAGTATTATAAATCCCCTTCCTCGAGAAACCTGAAGTAATGTAATCTACAAATCATCAACGATTTTCAATTCATAGAACAACGAACAACAGCTCATCTTTTTTTCTTCATCGATCGAAATTTTATCATACGATTTGATTAATAATTTGGTTTCGCTCTTTTTTTTTTGTTTAAATAATGATATTATCATATGATATTCGTAAGAATAATGAATATTTATTTAGAAAAAAAAAANTTATTTTCTTTTTTTTGGTAGATTCAATGAACGAAATAATTTTAATATAACCGTTTAGAGAGATAATGCAAGAAGATCATGAATAAGGAAATCAAAGAAGAAAAAATGATTCTCGAAAAAGATTTACTTATAACTTATGATATAATATCAGGATTTATAATTTTTACGTAATATTTTATCTGAGCATTACTAAACAATCAATGATTTCTATAAACCCAGTAGTTAATATTATAAAATTGTACTTTGAAAGTTACCAATACAAAGGATTAGTTTTTCATTTGTTAAAATTATGATCAATAAAATTGTTTTATTTCGATTTTGGGGAACAGATGCACTTACATAATACCGACCAATCCTAACTCTAATTATTTATTATAATATTTAAAATGTCAATTTAAAATAAATCCAAATTTATATATAAGTTGCGGAATCTCTATAATAGGTAATAATAATTAATAGAAAATGGAAAATCTTGAATTAAAAATTGATCCTTCAATTTATTTTTTATTTTTATTTTTTATTTTTAAAAAAGAATCTTACGTAATATATCACAATGGTATTACTTAATCCAGTATAGAACAAGTTAAAGTTTCCGCGGACAGAAAGGATTTACTTCGTAATGTGTAAAGAATTATTTCAATAATAAAATAAAAATCAATTTTGTTTAGAGAGTATTTTGCTTCGGATAATAATACATACAAATTTAGAAATTTTACCAAACTAAAAATGTAAGTTATATTCAATGAATAGAATTAAAAAATTTTTTCGGCCTGAATTTAAAATTATTGGCCTAAATTAAAAAATATTGGCTGAAATTATAATAGATGATTTCAAAGTCACGTGGATTTTAGGAATACTGTATTTGCAATATATAGAATGGTGGAGATATAATTTATGAAACTCATTTAAGTTTTAAACCTTTCAACATACTATCTTCTACAACTTTGAAATTTTACACTATTTCATGATTTAAACCTTTCAACATATTAGAATCATCTTTTACACTTTGAAATTTTAGATTATTATCACGACTATTATCTCGCATTGTGACTAAATTATATATCTTCACGTTAAAATCATAAATTTCGAATAATACTATTCATAATGCTTTTATTTAAAATTATTTAATACTTACCTTTTTCATCTTTATTAACAATCTATCCCTCTTTATCAATTGTAGTAACAAAGAAAGATGGACGCGTAATAAAGTATTATTTCAAAAGAGTTATTGCAGGTATCAGCGTTGACGTAATAATTAATGTTCAAATGATAATATTTATCTCTGTATATAATTAACTTGAGAAAAAAAAACTTATTATTATAAATACCATTTGCAGAAACCAATAATAACATATACGTTATTAAGGGAAGCTTGAAACAATAATATATCTAATCACAAATTTTCCAAGCGTTATTATTAGTTATTATTTCGCCATTGTTTTATATGTCTAATTCAGGATTTGAAATTCACTTTATAAAAAATATAATTGTATAGCTTATTTGAATTAGTAAAAAAAATCAAAATGTTTATTTTTTGTGTTAGATAAAATACAATTGTTGCTTTTTTTTTCTTATATTTTTAATAGATTATCTAATAACTTATCTCTTGTTGATGATAAATTGCATAATTAAGTGAGTATTTTAATAATTAAAACTGAGTAATTAAAATATTAAATAATCATAGCTTTTACGCAAGACGATATCAAGATAAAAAGAAGGTTTCAAACGAAACTGTAATTATTTTGAACTATTACGTTTGTTTACTACGATTACCATTTACACAAGATTATATTGTACTTCAAAGAGTATAAGTTTAAGTTTAATTTAGCTTTCTCCCCCCATCCAGTTGTCTATTAATTATTTTTACACTTATTTTTCCTTATCACGAAAAACTTTAATCATAAATAAAAATGGATGAGGCCGCGAGAAAAAAATATTGTCGTCTTTTGATGCTTGACGTTCCTCCTCCTTCAAATCATTCCAAAGGTTCTTTAAATACCGTTCCTCCTCCTTCAATCATTCCAAGGTTCTTTTAATACCGTAGAAATGCCTCTTATGATTGATTGTACAACCTCTTTAGAGAATAGTTCTATCAGAACTCAAGATAATTTTGTCTTTACATCATTCATTGAACCGATGAGGGTGGAACCTCAATCATCTTATAACAAATAAAAAAACTTCTACTTCTACTTCCATTTCATCAAATAAAAGATTTTATGATGATATTATCCCTTCTTATGGAGAAACTATTTCTTATGAAGAAACTATTGAAAAGAAATACAAATAATGTATTTATTGATGAAAGTTATCTTCAAATTCAACAGTCAATCGAGAAAACCCCAAGACCTCCAAATGCTTTCATTTTATATCGACGAAACAACTGTTGATCACTGCTAACATTTCTAATGCAAAAATTTCAAAGTTATTGGCAAAAATGTGGAGAAATGAAACAGAGGAAGAAAAATTATATTGGAAAAAAATTGCGGATAGAAAAAAAATGGAACATGTGCAAGCACATCCTGGATATGTTTATCGTCTCAAAAAACCTGGAAAACGTAGAAAAACAACTCCGTCAAAACAACCGATTTCAACTTTAGAAAATACTTGTGTACCCGAATTAGTAACTTCAATTGTTAATCCTTCTACGATTGATTGATTCATTGGTATTTTGCGATAATTCATTATCGAATAATTTTATTCTTTTCCTTATATTATCTCACAAGAATCCATGGTACCATATTTCTTTCTTAAGAAATGAATTTCAATTTTGAAGGAGGATTTAACTTTCTTGAACAATATCCGCAATATTCTCCTTATTTTTTTTTTAGATTCTCCATATATAATGTTCAACAGAATATTTCTCAAGAACAAATGATGATCTCAAACGGGTTTATCCCATTCAATCGCGATCCTTTGTTCAATAATTTTCGTAGTCTATTTTATTTGTGACTTTGATAATAATTATGGTTTTTATAAAGAGATTTCACTTTTTAAATTAAGAATAATCTTTTTTTTTTTGGAACGAACTTTCATTTTTTTTAAAAAAAATTATGTATATTTATTATTTTTTTTATATAATAAAACCTTATTATTAGAATATAATTATTTTATCATGCAAGAAAGTAATACTGTAAATTTAATTTGATACCATTTATACGAATTATATAAATGGAATAACATTTTGATATATTTACTTTATTTACGCAATATTTAAAAGAACAAATAACAAATTAAACTGTATATTTAATACGACATAATCGATCCTAGTTTGAAATTTTATACTTATAAATTTGATCTTTTAAATCTTGTTCACCACATATATCAACCTTTAAATCTTTCAATAATCCTGTATCAAGTTGATAAGCCCATCCGTGAATTTTCAATTTCTTACCCTTAGCCCATGCGGTTTGAACAATATCTGTAGCAGAAATATTTTGAACTTGTTGTTTAACATTCAATTCTACAAGTAAATCTGCTTTTTCCTTGTCGGAACCACAGGATTCTACCGAATTTTTGTTATTTCGGTAAACGTCTTTAATGCCTCTTATCCAATTATCGACCAAACCGTGTTGACTACTTCCCATCGAACATATTACACCACCGCATCCATAATGTCCTATATAAAATCACGCGTAAATTCAAATATTCAAGTATTACATTTACAATTTGTCTTTATGTATACTTACCACATACGACGACGTGTTCAACTTCGAGAAATTTAACTGCATATTCTAACACAGATAACGAATTCAAATCGGAATGATGAAATTGATTCGCAATATTTCGATGAACAAAAATTTCACCGGGTCCCGATTTAACTATAGTCTCAACTGGAACACGAGAATCGGAACAACCTAAACAGAAAGTTCGACGTGTTAACTTATGATCATGTGATATTCCAACATAAAGATTTGAAGTCCGTTAATTTACCAAACCAAACAATCTTTGGGCTTTGCCCTTTTGACGAATTAATAAAGAAATCTGGGTTTTCGTTAGTAATTGATTTGGCCCATTCTTTGTTGTTGGCAAAAAGTTTTTCAGTCACTGTTTTAGTTCATGGATGAAAAGAGGGAATTATATTAGGATATATTAGTCTGATAAAGAGCGATTTATTGGTAGTTACTTACTATCTGTAGATTCTTTCACGGATTTTGAATGTCGTAATAAGAATTGATGATGTGAAGGAAAAAAAGGAAAGAAAATTTAGCGTCAATTTATATTAAAATTTGCAATTTATGTATGTAATTATGAGTGTTACATTGTAAATTCTCATATAGGTAAGATTGTTCCTTTCTTGGGGTGAAAGTTTGAGAGTTTGAGAGATTCTTTCCCTTTGACAAGTTTTCTATCGAGTTAATTCTTGATTTAGAAATTTGGCGTGTTATTATTATTTATATTATCTCCTTTGTCTCATAATTTGAATTCCATATTTATCGATCGTATCTATAAAGATTAGGAGAGTTTGTTTATCAATTACTTTAATTTGACGATCTTTCACTTAAAAAATAAGGACATGCATAAATTAAAATTGACCGTTGCGCAAAAGCATAGAAAGCTTAAATATTTCTACCCAGTCTATTACCTTTAAAGTAAAGTTTACGATTAAAAGAAAGTTCTAGCGAAGTTTCAGGTTTTGCATAGGATTGATTTACTTATTAGTAAGTTAATAAACAAATTGAAACAAAAAAATAATTATTTTGCGAGTTTTAGTTATAATATAAAAAACCTTACCAATTGTAATATTAAAGTAAAGAATAATTTAATGAACAAAGAATAAAAAAAAAAATAATGATTAAAAATCAGAAAATGTACTCTGCTGAAATACTTTCAATTCACGAATGTTTTTCAAAGAAACAGAAAAGATTGACAATTATAAAAAGTATATAATTATACCAATTTTTATCAAATACTGCTTATACGGTGTAATTATTTATATCAATTATTATTATGTAGTGTAATATACTAATGAATAATAATTTACGGAGCGTATGGACACGCATAGATCATGTGACCGGTAATTAATTCTATAGAAATTTGAATTAAAAACCAACAATTTAGTTTGATTACAGTTTGTAGTAGTTTGCATATACATGAAACCGAAATAATTTCGGTTTTGATTAAAGATAATCTACCCGACTACCCCTTTTTATCTCCGGTTCGTTCCCACAGAGTCTTTGACTCTTGACACTAAATAATTTTTTTATAATGTCCAATTATGAAACTCCTGATTATACTGATGTTTCTTCTGTTTTATCTGATAATTCAGAACGAAATGAACAAAATATTAAAAATTCTAATTCTGGTTGGAAGAGAAGTCCTGTATGGGAATACTTTGATCAGCAAGGTACCCAAAAACACGGACATGTAGGTTGTATTTGCAAATGATGTGACTGGAAAAGAAAGGTTGGAAAAGCATATGAGATGGTCGAAACATCTAGCACTTTCATGTTCCAAAGTTACGGTTGATGTAAAAAATATTTTTCTTCGAATTAAGAGAACGAAATGCACTTAAACCTGATCTACAGATGATCTTCATCTTATGCATGATAATGATCAACTTAAAAAAAACAAAAAACATCATTAACACAAACGAAAATAACATCAAAATTTGAATCTACTGCTGAAATTGATAGCAATAAAGCACAAAGATGTAATCGTGCCCTTACAAGATTTTTATATATTGCGGTATTCCGTTTATCGATCTTGTTAAATGTTTGTATCCATCCTATCAACTTCCAAATTCCTATCAACTTCCAATCGGAATACATTTGGATAAATCAAGAATTATCACAAGTTGTCTCTAGAATATCAGATGATATTAGAGATTCTGATAACATTACTTTAGGTATAATTGATTAATTTCTTTTTTTGTTATTTATAAATTTATTATCTTAAACTAAACTAATATCTTTGATAATTAATCTTTAATAATAATTCGAATGCACTAGCACCTTAATTATGCTATACTTAACTCAACTAGGTATATAGACTATATTGTAATTAAATTTAATTTACTAGTAAATAATTATTCTTTAATTAAATTTGTATAGAAACATATAAGTCATATAACCAATAATTGATTCTGAATTAAAAATGTACTAAAGCTTTATATTACAAAATCTGGCAAACTAACAATTTTATTTAATTGAATACGAGTTTTCAGGGGTTTCATTTAAAAATATTTAAGTATAATTTATTATATAGTATAAGTATTTATTATTAAAGTATTTAAAAATTTGATAAGTATATTTTAAAAAATATAGAGTTTTTTTAATTTGTAATTTTATTTAATTATATTATATTCAACTTGCTTATATAAATTATATTGTAAAAGGAATTGTCAATTTAAAAAAGTAAGTTATACTCTTATTTTAGGTGTATTTTAAATTAAGAATATTTTAAATGTATCAATATTATTATATACTTAAATTATAATTAAATTATATTTAATTTTTATTATTTTAATACAATTTAATATATTTTAAGTATAAAATAAAATTTAAAGTGTATTACTAAATCTTACCATAATATTACTACTAAAATTACAATTTGGCTAGAATTTAAAATATCAGTTTATAATTTTGATTAAAGTTAAAAAATACTAATTGCTAAAATTTTAACTTTAATAATAAATATACTAATAAATATTGGTTTAATGTTAATCATAATAAAAATTTTCAAAAAACAGTATTTTTAATTTTAGATAAATTTTTTGTAATATCTTGATTAATTTCGATAAAATTGTAAAGTTTAATAAAAGTTATAAAATAAAAAAAGTTATCAAAATTAGACTACTAAAGGCTATAACTTTAATATAAAAAAAAAAAATGAAAACTAGTATATTTAAATTGTTATTATTAGTTATATTTTATTTATACAGTTATATTTTTATATAAAAACTTAATTTTATAAAATAAATAAAATTCTAAAAAATACAAAAAAGTTTACTATAAACTTTAAGCATTTTTTCAGATAAAATTACAATAATACTTTATTTTTTTTAAAAAAAAAATGATTAGTATTATCTAAAAACGAAAAAATTTATATGATTTTTTAGATTTATTCTAAGTATTATCAAATTTTTACCTATCTAACTAAAGTATTTTCTGAAATCTTAAATATTTCTTTATAATTACAAATTGATTTTAATTAATATTTTTTACATAATTATAATATATATATTATTTTTATTAATAATTTATCTTTTTACAATTAATTGGTGATCTGTGAGTCAAGTAACAAAAATGATAATAAAATTTGACGGAAATTTATTAATTAAAAGCCGCATTTCCGAATGTAGAGTTGTTCATGAATTTCTCTAGTCAAATGTTTAAATAACGCCATTTTGCTTTAATGAAATGGTTTTCCACAGTTTTCCCACCAATCTCATGCAAAAAAACCATAATGTGACGTTGGAAAAAGTCCAATTTCTAAGAGATCTGAGATTTGAAAGACAAAAACTAGTTTTATCATACCATATTACTTGTATAATGAGTGCGAAAAAGTCTTGAATTTGCCAGGTTAAAAGTTATTACAGTATACTTTACTAATAAAATATATCAAAAATAAAGCAAATATGCATGAAAGTTTAATGAAATATAAAAAAATTTCCATAATTTGTACTTTTAAAACCTTAGTTTATCTAATAACATAGTAAATGCCATGTGCTTCCAAAGTAAACTTCGTCAAAAAAAAGTTTTACGCTTGGTAGCTTTGAAAAATAAAAGTGTGACATTTACTTTATTGTTTGTGTTATTTTTAGTAAACTATGCTTCTAGTTTTTGTTACATCAGAGTTAGCGTATTACGACAAATTAGTATATGATCTGTGTCAAATTTTATATGTAATTTCTCTAGTTAACTTGCGGATCGTCAATTAAGGTAATAATATTTATTACATAATATGTTAGGGGTAAGGATTGAGAAGAATATTTGAAAGTCATATAATATATAAGTATATTGTAAGATTTTTACATATTACATGAAAGTGGAGGGGTATATATAATAAATGGATATTATATAATAAATATCACTGCCCTTACTAATTTTAATTTATAATACTAAATTTATATTAAAATTATTAATTTAATCAAATTAAGAAATTTTTAACTAAAATTACAATTTTTAAAAATATAAATTTGATATAATTTTAAGGGTTTTATTTTTTATTATATCTGCATTATATTGCATCCCTATAATATGTTATATAAAAGTCAAAAATGATATTCTAAATCCTTTTTAATATATTAAGAAACTTGTAGAGCAATTAAAAATACATATAATAGTAAGTGCATAAGATTTTACGCTATGATTTTTTAAAAAATGGAAAATTAATAATCAAAATAATCAAAATAATTAATATATAAAAATTATCAAAAAAGAAAGATGCAAAATATTGAAAAAACATTTCTAATTTTAATTTTATTTAAATTTAACTTTTAATACTAATCAATTTTTGAATATTAGATTATAATTTAGGTAGATGGATTTATAAAATTTAATAATTATAATTACCAGTATACTTTTATATATTTATTATTTAACTTGATGATTATATAAAGGTCTAGTTGTATTCTTATTAATCTTAAATATAAAATTGAGATTTTTGAAAACTATTTAATTTTTTAATATAAAATATAAATATAATATTACTTTATTAATTGATTTTATAAATAACAATTTTAATTTATATTTATACCAATATGATTTTTTTATTAAATATATAAATATTATATATATAAAATTTTTTATTATTTTATATTAATAAAGTATTAATAAACTATAATATTATATTAAATCATCATTGATCATTAAAAAAAACCAAGATTAAATAAAAAATATATATAAAACTGGATTTAAATTTATATAAACTAGTTATATATAAATTGAGGTTTTGTTTAATTAATTGGTAATTATTTAAAAGTCAGATATTTATAGATTTGATTTTATTTACAAAGTTTAAATTAAAATATTGCAAGGATTATATTAAGATCTTTATTTTATATTAATGATTCTTAAAATCTTTTTTTAAAGTTTTCATTTACCTTTTTTTTTGAAAAAGAAAGAGCATTTATATAAATAAAGATTAAAATTTATTATGCATAATATAGAAAATTACCAGTTAAAATTTTCTATATTTTTTATATTTTTATAATATTTGTTATATCAAATAATTTAGAAAAGGAAGTTTTTTTTTAAAAAGAAAAAAAATATACTGTTCACGTTTTCAAAAAAAAACTTGCCGTAATAATTTAGTAATTTGGAGATGACAAACACGTGACTAAAATTGTTTATTATAAGGTTCTTATTTTGCAAGTCGATAGTTTTCTAATTTCTAACAATGTCGAAATTTATAAGTCTTTTTTTATTTACTATACTTGTATTGGGACAAACGTCTCTCGCGTACAACTGTTCTGATATCGTGGTTGATCGTATTAAATTCGATCTTTCTGATCTTAACAAGTAAGTTGTGAATATGTATTTCTTACATGAACTCGCAAGAGCAATGTTCTTTTTACCAATAGTTCTTTGTGCTTCTTTTTATCTTAAAAAAGAATCTTCGTATAATATTCTCAAATGGTTCATTTATATGTTTAATTATTTAGAGTAGAGGAAATAATTGGAGACGTTGAAGTAACGCATCCAACTTATACAAGAACTAATTATCTGATAAATCCTTGTGAACCCTTGACATACAAAGATGATCAAGTAGACCAATGTGAAAACGGCACATATATTTGTGAAATCATAATTAATTATTTAAAGGATCCTAGAGATCCCAAAGAATCTGATCCTAAAAATCGAACTATAAGTATTAAATCAGTAGCTGGCGGAGATATAAAAGAATCAATATCTTTAGGACCTGTCTTGAACGACGTTGATTCTCACGGTAGATTTTAACATTTTATTTATTCACTGTAATATACCTGAGAATCATGTTTAATGTTAAACTCCACTCTCTAGGAAATCTCTCAATTATATTACATGGAGGTTCTTACAAGAATGAATCACAACAAGCAAATATTACATTTATTTGTTCAGAGGTGGGTAATGATTATAACTACAAAGAAGTTTGTATGAAATATATTAAGAATCAAATTCAACAACTTAGCAAAACAAAACGGCAAACATCATTGGCTACAAGGAGAATACGTTATTTATAGAATGGGAAACTAAGGCTGCTTGTGGGTATGTATTGAGACGAATGTTTTGCTAATATTTAATTAGTCCTTTTTTTAAAATGGGGATTTCCTGGATCAACAGAGAACGTATTCCTGAAGAAGATAAAGGAATGGGCGGATTCACTAAATTTATACTCATGTAAGTGAATTTTTTGATGATTCGTTTTATTGAAGGTTTTTAATTCGAAATTTTAATAACTATTATAATTTGACAGTATAATTTTTATCGTTTTATGTTATTTTGGAATTGGAGCTGCTTATAATTATCATGTCTATAAAGCACATGGCTGGGATTTATTACCTCATTTGTAAGTTTTGTATTTTTATGCTACAACATTGGTTTTAATATTGACCTTTTATAATTAATTTAAATCAAAACTATAGGGACTTTTGGAGAGACTTTCCATATTTAGTCTCGGTGAATATGAATCTTTTTGTGTAACCATAAAATTATCGTTTAATTACAAATTAACTTACTTTATTTTATATACACAGGATTTTTTCAAATATCTCGTTAATTTTATTAGAACAGGTCGTGGCGGATATGCCAGGTTTTTATACAAAAAGTCTATTATTTTTTTTAAATTTAATAATTTTACCTTTATTTCTTATAAATTTTATTATTTTAGGGTATAATGTATAATATGTATTAATATATATTGCAAAAGTTCAATAATAAGAGAGGTATGTATATTCGTTAATTTTTTCAGGGGCTGTTAGAAAGATGAATATTTTTTCATTATAATTACGTAGATGTATTATTATTATTTTATTATTTTTAATATTTACAATGAAAAAGAGCTGCAAATTTAATAAATAAATAAATGATCATGTTATTACATAATGGTAACACTAGTATATCAAATTTTGAATTCGTATTTTTTTGGTTCCCACCCCATGTCTTTTTGTCTTTTTAGAAAAATTTTTTAACGGTTAAAGATTATCAAATCTCACAATTTCTCTCCGTGCAGTATACAAATATTTTTCTCCTATCTGTTAATCTATTTGATCTATTTGAAATTATGTAAACTTCAATCAGCTAATCATTTTTGATAATCTTTTTAGCAAAGAAATTTTATATAAAAAAACCAGAATAATCTCTTAAAATGACCACAAAACGCCTTAATCAAATCGAAAAACATTTATCTCCAATGGATTGTAATTAATTATATATATATTTTTTTAATTAAACAATTTACACTAAATAAAATTAAATTGATTATTGTTTTAATTTATTCTAAATAGCTGCAAATTCAATATTCCAAGAAATTCCTCTTGCTCCTCCAGATGTCATTTTTAACCTCACTGCTACATACAAGGCAGATACCTTTGCTCAAAAAGTTAACTTGGGTGTAGGAGCATATCGAGACGATGCAGGAAAACCCTGGATATTACCTGTTGTAAAAAAGGTATGTTGACGTTTGTTTTGATATATTGATCACTCTTAAATGTTGTTTAAATTTTTTTTAACGCGTAAAAACGCGTCCAATAAAAATAAAGGCCGAACAAGCCATTGTTAATGATTCCTCAATAGATCATGAGTACCTTCCTATATTGGGTCTTGCACCTTTTAGAGAAGCGTCCATTAGGTTAATTCTTGGTGCTGATAATTCTGCTATTAAAGAAAATAGAGTAAGATTTTTAAACATCGATATATAAATCTTTTAATTTTGAGTATTTTTAACTTAGATAATATTTAATAGGTTACAGCTGCTCAGACGATTTCTGGTACAGGCGCCAACCATCTTGGTGCCCTATTTTTGTCAAGATTTTATTCTAAAGAAGTTCCATTTTATGTATCTAATCCAACATGGGGTAAGTTATATTTATAATAGAAATAGAAATTTATTTTATTATTCATTTAATTGATTATTATAATTATTGATATTAAAACCTTAAAAAATATTAGCAAACCACAAACCAATTTTTAATAACGTTGGTTTTGAGACAAAAGACTACGCTTATTTTAATCCGAAGAATAATGGATTAGATATTGATGGTTTACTAGCAGACCTTAAGGTATTAAATGACAGGCATATAGATAATTTGTTCATGTTCTCCTATATAATATTTTTCTCTCATCTATTATAGTCTGCACCTGAAGGATCGATTATTCTATTGCATGCTTGTGCCCATAATCCAACAGGTGTTGATCCTACAAAAGATCAATGGAAAGCAATCGCAGATGTTATCGAAGTATGTACTATTATTTGTTCATTAATTGAAAAAATCAAAAAAAGATTTCAATACCCAAATGAATATTTTTATTATAGTCAAAGAAACATTTTCCATTCTTTGATTGTGCATATCAAGGATTTGCTAGTGGAGATTTAGATCGTGATGCTTGGGCTGTGCGTTACTTTGTAGAACGCGGGTTCGAATTACTTGTTTGCCAATCTTATGCAAAAAATTTTGGTCTATATGGTTTGTATATTTATGTTATACAATATCACTTTTTGACGCCAGATTGATTAAAATTTTTTTTTGTAGGACAACGTGCTGGTTGTTTAACATTCGTGTTACGAAATGCTGATGCAGCTGCTCGTGTAAGTTCTCAACTAGCTAAATTACAACGTTCTGAGATTTCAAATCCCCCACTACATGGTGTTCGTATAGTTAGTAAAGTATTAAATGATCCCAACCTTTATGCTGAATGGTAAGTATATTAGCATTTTGTTATAGAATATTTATAGTATTTTATTAAGGTTTTATATCTTTAAATTAGGACTGAAAATCTTAAAACGATGAGTGGACGTATTAGTAATATGCGTAAAGCTTTGTATGATAAACTTATTCAATATAAAACTCCTGGCACTTGGGAACATATTATTAATCAAATTGGAATGTTTTCTTTTACTGGACTTAAAGGTGAAAAAAATAACAGTTATTTTTTACTTTAATATTTTTTTTTACTAATTTTATTTGTTATAAATCCTGAATTTTTGAATCAATAATAGCCTCGCAAGTTAAAGTTCTTAAAGAAAAATATCATATTTATCTTACAGATAATGGACGTATTTCTATGGCAGGAATATCTACTTCAAATGTAGAATATTTTGCAGATGCTGTAAATTATGTTGTAAGAAATGCTTAATTTTAAGCAGGCACCACCTTATTATTTAACAAACTAAAAAAAAAACTATTTTTTATTTTATTTAAGTAATTATTATTGCATTATTAAATAAAAAATTGGTTCAACCCTAAAAAAAATTATTTGTTATATGGAATGACAAATCCTTTATTAAAATAACTTGATATACATATATATATAATAGAATGTGGATTTTTTTTTATAGGAAAAATGAAAGTACTTGTAATAAAACAAAACAATAAGAAAAAAAATCAGCATCTAGCTGAACACGTAGTCATCAATGTAATTTCAGTTCAATCCTTTTTTATATATTAATTGTCCAATTTTTTTAAAAAAAAAGATTAAGATTTTAAAGCTATATACATGTATATAGTATATTTAAAATAAAAATATACTATTTACATAAATACAATCCAACAAATTAAAGTTGTTTGTTCTTACTACGTACATTTCCTATTTATTATTTTTATAAACAACCTACTTTATTTGTTATCTCCGTTCATCCCTCTCTCTGCTATGATGCCTACGTCTATTACCATCACCATCTTTAGATCTACTATTATGATGACGACTACTATGATGACGTGATGAATGATGCTTTTTATGTTTTCGGCTTCCGCTTCGATGGTAATCTTCTTTTGAATAAGTATTATGACGAGATTTGGACATGGAACTTCTTCTTTCGTGGTCTTCTTTATCCAAAGATTCTCGTCGATGATGTGATGATCTATGATACTTATTACTTCGATGTTTATGAGATGAGGAATGACGACGTTTTCCCGAAGACGATGAATGATCTTTATCAGGTGAAGGTGGTGTAGTAGGCATATCATCCTTTATTTGATAAATGTCATCATCTTCCATTAAGTCATCATTAGTTGAAACATCAATTACATTATCATCTTCATCTTCGGGTACCTGGAATTCTTCTGTATCTACTGTATCTATTATGGGTTTTGGTGATTCTGATCGTGATTGTCTTGATTGTCTTTCAGTATCGTCATAAGCTTGTCCTATTGATTCTACTTGACTACTTCTTATATCTTGCATTTCAACATCAAATTCACGTTGTGGACTATGATACAAATTTTTACCATTTTCATCATCTAATGTTCTATTAGGTGAAGGTGTTCTAGTTCGAGCTTTCATTTCATATCGTTCATTATGTAAACCTTGATTACGTATTTCATCTTTTTTTTCATCCATTGAAATACGTCTATCTTTCCTATCACTAATTGATTCACGTCTACTATCATAACGTGAACTATTATATGAATCACGACGGTCATCACGCCCATCACGCCTGTCACTTAATGATTCACGTCTATCTCTATCTCTATCACTTCTTCTATCTGACATTGATTCACGTCTTTCTTCTCTTCTTTCGGATACAGAATACCGTCTATCATCATCATAATACCTTCTATCATTAACGTATCTTCGATCATCTTTTATTTCACGACTACGACTTCGACGTCTTGATGATGTTGAACTCTTTCTTCGTTCATCGTATAACATACGATCATGTCTTGAAGGTGATCGACTACGATGTGATCCTTCCCGATTCCTTCGAGAACTACGATGATGTGACCTGCTGCTACTTCGTCTTTCTTTGCTTCTACTTCTACTATTACTTCTAGCCTTTTCTCGTCGTCTAATTTCTAAATCTTCATCTGGAATTACGTCCCTATCACGTCTATCACGATCAGATATAAGAGAAGGAGATAGTTTATCTCGTGTATCATTTTCCTTATCTAATGAATGATGCGACACTGATGATTTACGACGTGCCAAATCACGTCCAAAATCATCCACTAATCGATCATCATCATATTTTGATTCACCTTCGCGATATTCTCTTTCGGATCTAAATAAGATAATAATATAAGTATATTCGTATCAATAAATACATCGATAATATATAATTCATATAAAATTTTCTCAATCCACTTACGTTTCTCGTCTGCTAGTTGAAGGGCCCATACTTGATTCTCTTCTAAAATCATTATTATTTCCACGTCCACTGTTAAATGGTCGTTGTTCATGGAAAAAACCTGGTCCTCTTCCACGACCTCCACCACGACCACGATTTTGAAAACTACCTCCGCGTTGTAGAAATCCCCCACGAAATCCTCCACCTCTGAAGGGCTGCATAGCACCACCCATACTACCTCCCATATTGTTCCCAAAAGGAGTAAAATTACCTTGTGGTGGTATCATTGGTCTATTATCCCAAAAATCGTCATAAACCGGAGGTCTAAAAGGTGGCATGAATTGTGGTTGAGCTGGAAAAGGTTCAGCTGGATAAAACCCAGACTCAAAATATGATGGATCATAGTAGCCACCAGGTGCATTCATCATATTCATATTCATTTGAGGATATCCTGCTATAATAATAACATAATATGTTATGTTGAATTAAATTTATAAATTGATATGTTCTTGTGATAACTTACCATCATCGTACCAGTATTGACCTTGATCATACCCGAATCCATAATCATTGTAATATCCAAATTGTCCATATGTTGCTTGTTGTTGAGCAGTTGTGGGGTTTTGTTGTGGAAAAGCTTTTCCATTAGCATTCGGAAACTGATGCTGCTGGCGTGATAATTGCTGCTGTGGTTGAAACTGAGAAGACTGTTGCGATTGCTGAGGTGCTTGTGCTTGCTGTGAAGATCCTGATTGCTGCTGTGATGGAACTTGTGGAAGATCATGAGTTGGTTTTTTTGGCAATTCCACTTTAGCACTCTATAAAAAAATTTTAAAGAATTGACTCAAATTTTTTAAAAAACAAACTATAAAAAGTAAAATAAAAGTCGTACTGGCTCAGCTTTTACTTTTGGAGGTTGTGCACTAGTAGCAGTAGCAGTTGTTTGTTGTGCACCATCTTCAGTTATGTCTTCTTGTATGTCTGCAGATTCAAATTCTTTGTCCTTATCCTCAATTTTTACGACAGGTAATGGTTGTTCATTAATTACTAAATCTGTTGATCGCTGTTCTTTTTCTATTGAATCGGTCGAAATAGGCATTTCTATTGTACTCTCTTCAACCACATTATCATTATCATTATTACTATTATTATTATTATTAATATTAATATTATTATCAGCAGCATCATCTTCGCCATTACCCTCAGGTACAATTTGTTCATTTCTGCGTCTTGCCCAATCTCTTAAATGATTATCCACAGCTTCTCTAGTTGCTTTGTCGGGTAGTAAGTCATCAGGTAATAAAGGAGATCGACAATGTGGACACTTGAACTGCTGATCTTCTTGTTCGGGATTGATTAATGCGGTTCGAATACCTATGTAAATTATTTATTCAACCCAAATTTATACCACCAACCAACAGATTTTTTTTTTTTTATATTTATAATAATAAGGGAGAAAAAAATAAGAAGCAAATCACGTTAGTAACGATAACTGACTCAATAATTTAGGGAGGAAAAGCTGCAATATATTGGTTAGTTTTCTTTTTTAAATAAGAAAAATAAGATTAAGAAATAAAAAAAAAAAGTGTAGAATTGCTCCTTCATATAATATACAAATCTTTGCGATTGAATAACGGGAACTAGTATTCCCATAATATTTCCCTCATTGTCCATTGTCATCAAGAATTTTTCAGTAGAAACTTTTGGAAAATCAAAGTCCAATAATATAGGAATAAACCTTCTTAATGTAATCAAGACGTTGGTTGAAAATGTTCACCAATCTTGTCTTGGATCATTAATTTCACATCTGTCATCATATAACGCTATCTAAAGTAACACCCATACTCCACAGGAAGAAAATAAAAAAAATTTGCACACAAGTTCACTAGACTAGAACTCGAGATTGATTTTGTTTTTAAACCTCGAGAAAATAATGAAGGGATTATATTTATTGTGCAACAAACAAATTGCGAGCAAAACCATAAAAATAACACAAAAGGCAAAATTATAGAACAAACAAATTGTAACAATACATCTAGCCTAACCTGCCTAATTAATCTATAAAACTTGTAACAAAAATCTAAAATTTGTTGTCTTTGCGAACAACAATAACGATACGTACATTCATCACAAAATGAAGCCTGACAACACGGCGTTATAACAGCTTCTCTAAGAAGTCGAGCACATATCATGCATTGGAGTTCATGAGGTACAGGAAAGGTATCTTCAAGCACTTCATTTGTAGTCACATATGATTTTTGACGGGCATGAAATTTTTGCCATGCAGCACTTAATAGGAAAAAAAAAATAACAACTTAAGTATAATGTAAATGTAGATGATTTCTTGAAATTTTGTATAAATCTCAATAACTCACTCATTCGCTTGTGCAATAACTAAATTTCCATCTTGTGTAACAAGTACTCCTTTTCCAGGAGGAACTTGTTCGACTTTTTGCAGGAAACTTCTAGGTATTCCCGTCGTCTTTCTGACCTTCATATGATCGAACGATCTATCACCATTTGTCGGACATGCTTGAATCCAATGTCCTATAAAATTTCAAATAATGTAAATATCACAATTTAAACAAAAATAAAAGGTATGTAATAAAATTTATTATAAATACCTTTCTGTCCACATCTATAACATACATAATTTGGCGGAAGCGCTTTTTGAATTTGTTGCTTTACTTGAGGGCGAGGTTGATTTGGCCTTCGAAGCGCTGGTTTCCTATTAAAAAAGAGCAAGATGAAATTGTAAATTTAATAACATACACAGTAATTCAGATCAATAATGTAATAAACTTACGAAGCCATCTGTTCCTGAGTTTTTTCCCAAAACTCTGATGATTGTGCAAACATGGCTGCAATTCTTCTGTCTTCTTCTGTCTGTTCTTCGCCTGAGGTTTGATTTGTAGTTGGAACAGGCGAAGGTCGGGAGGTTTGTGTTTGATGTTGCTTAGACGAGTCAAAAGTTTTTGACATAGATCTAAAAAAAATAATCCAAATTTAGCATCTACAGAAATAAGTATTCCATTATATAAAAAGAATTAAATGAAAATATTAACCCGTTAACATTTCCATAATTAACTCGATTTCCAGTTGTTACATTACGTGGTGCTGTTGGCGCACCCTCCAAATAACGATGTGCAGTCCCTTTCCCTGGTTTAGTAGGCACTCGTCGAACCACTATAGGTGTATTTCTTGGTATTAATGCAGTATCTTCTTGGTAATCTATAAAAAAAGTATTCCAAGTTAACCATACAGCAAATTTTTTTTACATAAACCGAGCGATTGAACAAAGTAATTCTCTCCAGCACATATAACAAAAATTACCTTCTCCAGATTCGGCATGGGAAACTACAATATCAAAGTCATTTCCCTTTAATCTTTTTGCGACCAAGATTTCTTTTTTTGCATCGAAAACAGAGATTCCAAGACCATCAAAAGTTATATTATCGTAATCTTTAGCGCTTTTGAATTTGTAGTATATTTGAGACATCTTTTTAATCAATAAGTGTAAACTAAACTAAAATTCAAAGCCCATTTCTACAATAAGTTTTATATAAATCACGTGTAAAATGTGCATCACGTTAAAAAATCAGTCATGACTAATCCTAACGCTTTTTGTCCACAGAATAACAGAATCAGTTTACTATAATTTGAACAAAAATGATTATATTGATTATTAAATATAAAGCGCCGTACGTATTTTCTCTAAATCGACAATTTTCAAAAATTGTAGTCTTTTCCTTGCAAAAGATATCACAATGACTCAGGAAGGACTATTGGAATAGCCGAAAGTTGTAACATATGGGTCATAATGTTGCTACAGTTTCGAAAGGAAGCTGGCTACCTTATTTACTTCAATTTGTTATACGGCACGTGACACATGATAATAACGTTCTTCCCTTACATTCTTCTCTTTACTTATGATTGCTATTAAAGATTATTTTCCATATGTGATGTCACTCTATCTCAAGCTTTATAAGAACATGAAAAATGACCACACAGATTATATACAGTAAATGTGCAAAAGAATTTCTGAATTTAAATAATTTCGATCACGTGGCATCAATCGCAATAACCGCTTTTCTAATGCAATAGCTATTCATTTTTATTGATATAATAAGATCATTACTTACGACCAGTTCAAAGAGGAGGATCTGGAGGAAGAAAGGAAAAGATGTTGAAACCATTAAAGTGATATCATATTTTTGTGATGTATGGATTACAGTTCGTCCCTATTACATTTAGGATTGAAACAAACCACTAGATTACAGTTCTTAAGGGGGTTCCTTACAAAGGTACGGCTACCCAAATTGGGTTTAACAGTTTGCTTGCAAAATACTTTTCAAATAGTTAATGTAAAATTTACGAAATAATTTTTTGTATACTCCTTTTCTTTTTTAATTTTTATTTTCTCTTCTTTTTGCAATAAAATCGGTTAATAATTCTTGATACAATTCATCGTTTAATCCTTTAATACATTGATATTGATTGTGAACACGTAATAATTCTGATTGTAATGAAGAAATTTGTGTTTGAAAAGTAGATGCATTATTATCTGACTAAAAAATTAGATAAAAGGTTTAATAAATTGAATTATAATTATTATAATTATAAAGAAAAAATAAGATTTACTTACTTGAAGTTGAAGTAACGTTTGTTTGGCTTTATGTAAATCATATAATTCTAAAGATGTGATGGCTTGACCCGTAAAATTATATTCAAATAATTCCATTTCCTAAAAATATATATATTATTATTATATTTGTATATATAAACTTAATATAATTGAAAGAATTAGCATTTAGGGATATACCTTTGTGTTATCATTTAATATAATATTAACATTTTCAAAGTTATCTTTTTGTTCGGAATTTTGTGTAGTATTTCTTTGAAATAATTGTATTGGCTGAATTGTAATTTTATTTGACAAATTATTTGTAGATAAACCTAAATCTGGTGGTTTTATAAACGTAAATAAATTCACTATAGGTCCTACAATTAAAAAAAAAGTTTTCATTAAGAGTTTAAATAAAAAAAAAGAATATACTGTAAATAACTCTATATACCTTTGTAATGAGAGAAATTTTTTATCATCTGTTTACTCATTATATCCCATATTATTAATGTTCCATCTTGTGAACCCGATAACAGTAACGTTGCATCATATGAAAGTGCAAGTGAAGTGACTGAAGAACTGTTCACACAAATTTTTAATTCAATCAATTATTTAATTATTATTTTGGAAGTTTTATTTAAAAACTAACCTGTGTCCTTTGAATAAATTTCCTTTCCTATTATCTTTAGAAGAAGCTATTTCACAAACATCTACAATTGAAGCTGTACCACCGACAGCAATTACTTCTTCTCTACTATTAGTCATAGAGTATCCTCTATTTTCTTGTTTAGTATATAAATATATTTGATATATTAAATTATCATTACCACCACCGAAAAACATTCTTTCGGCTGGATCAGCTATTAAACATGTTATTGCTGCGGGAAATATAAATGTAGTTAAAAGACACCCTGTTGCCAAATCCCATAACTAATTATTATAAATTGTTTTTAAAGGTTATTCATTATTGAATGAAAATGAAAATTTACAAGTGTGATAATAAATAAACTTACTTTACATGTGTGATCCAGAGAAGAAGTTAACACTCTTGTTGTATTAAAACTTCCTATTCCACACCAAATATCAGTTATTGGTAATGAATGTTCTGACCATGTATAATAAGGCGAAGGTGATTCATCAACTGAATCATCCAGCAAACTAAATTTATAATCAGTTATTACTAATATAAAAAAAAAAGGTTTATTTTGTTAAAACTCACTTAGTTAATAGCCATACATTTACACCAGCATCTTCACTACCGGATATTAATACAGAATCATCATTAGAAAATTTTATTACACTAATTCTTTTATAATGAGCATCAAATACTTTGCATAATATTCCCGTAGAAATCTTTATTAAAAAAAATGAGATGATTTGTTCATTAATTTAAAAAGTAAAAATAGGCTTAAAGATATTATTGATATTAATCAGTACCTCCCAAATATAAATTTTTCCATTGTCGGTTCCACCAGCACAAAATACTCCTCTATTTGATACCGCTAATGCAACTATTTTTTCAGGACATATGATTTTCAAATGAACCTGGTCCTAATAAAAATGAATTATTTTAGTTTATTCAAAATTCAACAAAAAAAAGGTTATTTTTTCTTATTCAAGTAAGCTAACCTTTTGAAATGAATATACATGCAATAAAGGTTTATCCACTTGAGCAGAAATTATTAAACTAATTCTATTACATTGACCGGAATATGGTATTAAAGCTAACGCATGCTTAAAACAATTATTTTGTTTAAAAGAAGTATGTAAAGTACCGGTACGAAAGTCTAGTACATTTACAAAAGAATCCGTTGAAGACGAACATAGTACTACTTCTGACAACATTGTTTCTTCCCCACTGAAAAACTGAGTTGCAAAAAAAAATGCGGTGATGTTACTGGACGATCAAATCAGTGATATGTTTGATATGTTGTTACACGAAGAAAAATTTTTTAATAGATCAAAAAAAAGTTTTTTTTCTTTAAAGTGAGAGACATTATTTTGGCAGCAAATTATTATTTGGTAAGCATCCATTTGTTTTCTATTAAGGATTAATTGTTCTACAATAATATTTTTTTTTTTTGCATACATTTTTTCAATGAATAGGAATGGCTAAAGAAAAAAAAACCACTACACGTAGCGCAATAGCTGATGTTGTGACAAGAGATTATACAATTCATTTGCATAAAGCAATTCACGGGCGGTAATTATTGTAAAATCGGTTAATTATTTAGGAAGGTATCTATAGACTTCTAAATATTGTTATGAATATAATAGGAGTTTTAAGAAACGTGCACCACATGCAGTTAAAGAAATTCAAAAATTTGCTAAAAAACACATGGGAACAAGTGATGTTCGATTGGATCCATTGTTGAACAAAGAAATTTGGAAACAAGGTGTTAAAAGTGTACCTCATCGTATGCGTTTACGTCTTTCTAGACGTAGAAATGATGAAGAGGATGCTAAAGAGAAATTGTATACTTATGTCACCCACGTAACAGTGACCTCTTTCAAAGGTAAATTTCCTTTTTTTCTCGCTTAATTTATTTTATTGATTTAAGTAAAAATTAATATATATAATTTTTATTCTGATTCAGGGTTGCAAACTACAGTTGTTGATCAATAAATTAATCTCTAAAAAAAGAAATACATTTTTTTTCTTTCTTTAAAGAAATATAAAGAAATTAATTTTTTAATTTTATTTGTTATCTTATGTGTTAAGTTGTTTTCTTATTATAATTAATATAACCAACACCAACACAAGCCATCAATAATGAATTATCTGTGGAGTCTAATTTAATTTTAAAATTGACATCAAATATGGTTTTTAAATCCCTTAAATATTGTATCCTAAAAAGAAAAAAATTTCAACAGGTTTAATATGCTGGTATTACATAAAATAGTAATAATACGGTTAAAAAATGTTTGTTATACATACGTAAAGGCCGTTAATTTCCCAATTCGAATTTTTGATACATCTTCAGGACCAAGTACCATCAATAATAAAATCAACCATTGGTTCAAAGAATCGACACAACCACCATTACTAATTTCATTTAATAATAATTTAGCAGTTCTGCTGCCAATGTCTTCGGGAGTTTCACCAGGTAAAGCAGCTTGTTCAGAACAATATAAAACCCCTGTATTAGATTCAGCAACTAGATTTAAAGCAAACCCTGGTGATTTACCAGATTCGTCTCCTTTACGTACATCAGTAAAGATGTATACGTCGGGTATATATCTATTTAATACAGATCTAGCTGAATCTACTAATCTATTGGCATTTTGTGGCGATACTCTTGTAGAACACGCTATACCACGAATACGTTTTATTTTACCTTCATCCGTAAATTGCATTGGTTTTAATGATCTTATTATTGGGCATTTAAAATTAACTTCTCCTCCTCCTAAAGGTGCAGATCCACGTTTAATAATCTAATTTAATTTTTAAAGTTAGCTTTTTATAATAATAATAACAACAAAGAGTAAATTTTATTACCTTCAATTCAAGTCCTTCTTCAATACCAAATTTCCTTAATTGTAGTAAAGTTACTGTTCTTATACTATCCGCCTGTATTATCAAAAAAATTAATAAACAACAATAAAATAAGATAAAATAAATTAAATAATATTTTTACACGTACAGATATGTCTGTGTTATCATTAGTTATACCAGTTAGCGTCAAATCAAATGCTTGTTTACCAAATGGTCCTAATGCAATCAATGGTTCCAAGAAATATCCGATTGCTCTTGATGTACCACATTCATGATAAATTTTTCCTCCAGTTATAACTCCTGGCTTGTATAATATAGTCGTGCCTAATTTTTAATAGGCAACATGTTTAATCTAAGGTAAATAAGTGGTAAACGTCCAACAAGTTAAATTTACCTGAATAATTGATATCAATTTTCGAACCATTTGTTACCTTTTCAAGTAGTCTTAGAAAACTTGCTTCAAAATCTATTATAAAAATTATTAAATTAATAAAACATAATTATATTTCGATTTTCCCAACTATCATTCAACTACTTAAAAAATGATTTCTAATATTTTTTTTTTCGAAATCTAGTTAAGGGATTACATTATATACCTCTCAAGCCAGGATCATCATCTTCAGAACGAACTTTATCAATTTTAACAGTGTTTCCACTTAATGTAGCAAGAATAAGTCTTTGTCTTAAGTATCCATGTCCTGAAAATTTTAAAATTTTACGTGAAATATCTCTCATTTTTTTATCAGAAAATTTTTTTTACGTAAGTTCCGTTTTTCACATTTGGGCATGATTATCAATTAAGATTATCAATAAAAGTTAAAAGATCCCAATTCGAGTGATAAGCAAAAAAAACTATCATTATAAAAAATTTAAGTGAAAGTATAATAAACGTGGCTGAAAATCTCCCTAGGCCTGCTCAATGGTTTGTTTTTATAACAGTTATTATCACATTTTTGATTTGTTGCGCTTTGATCATACGGAATATATAGAATATATAATCAAATAAATCAACAAATATGACCAATCATATATTTTCCGTATGGATTATGTATGATTACAATCATAATTTTTTAGCATGGAGGGTAGCAAAATTCTGAAAAGCGCAATAATTAGTCGATCAAAAAATTCCTAACTTTTACGCATAATTTCTCTTCAAAATGTCGGATGCAAGTTCATCTTCATTACATACTTTATTAGAGCAATTATCTTTGGAATTACATGAATGTTTGGGAAAAATAATACCAGATATTAATGAAGAAGCTTTGAATCAAACCAAGAAAGCCGAATATCCTGATAAATATGAAGAAGTTGAGAGAATAAAAGAGAAACGTAATTTTTGTTTATTTTATTTTAGTTTTTTAAATCTAAATTTATGCTAATAATTAATTTGTTTCTTTTTGAGAAAGTGGTTGAAAATCAAACCCATAAATTTTTAAGCGTAGCTAAACAATTAGAAATTGAATTTAACAAGATTGTTTTTTCTGAAAGACAAACTGAAGAAGTCATTTTAAAAGAGGTAATTAAATAAATATACTGCGTATATATATATACGTATTAATTTTGTTATCATCAATATAGGAAATTGATGGATTACGTCAAACTATTGGACAACAAAAAGAAGTTATTACAAAATATACTTTATTAATGAAACAATGGACAAAAGAATTTAAAGAATTAGAGGATGAGAATAAAATTCCTATATAAAAAATTTTGTAAATAATAAGTTTATATTTTAACTAATACAATATATATAAAATAATAAATTGATATAAAATAAGCAAATATTAAGATGATTATATAATATCTAGCATTCTTATTTATATATTTATAATAATATTTTAAAATTTTAAAAATTTTAAAGAAAATAAAGAAAATTCAATTTTAACCAATTTCAAATGTAAAATTTTTATATTAAAAAAATTATTATTTTAATTTAATATATAATATAATAATTCAAACTATTATAAATATATTACCAAAATTTAATTTGATATATCTTTTAAATACAAGTTATTGTTAGTACTTTTTGGTTATTATTTTCCATTAATATTAAATATTAAGTAATTTAAATTTAAAAATAAAATACAGTATTTTGTATAATTTTGTTTGAGAATTATGCAGTAAAGTACTACATTTTATAATAATAATACAAGTAACAGTATTATAATTGTTATATCAAGATAAAAAAGTTATTGAAAATTCACAAGAATCTTAATTTTAAATACTCAAATAAAAATATGAATTCCACTTCTTTAATATTTTTTATATAATAATAATCAAACATTCACTTTATTTATCCTATAACAAAATATTGTATATACATTATATGCAATAAAAAAATTATCTTTTAAAGATTTTGAAAAGATTTATACTGCATATAAGTACTTTTTTTTGTTTAATTTTACATTACTGTAATTGTTAAATTTAAAATTTGATATCTTAAGCTTTATCTTAAATTATTATTTTATCTTCAATGTTTTCTTCAATAATGTCATTTTCCTCATGATATTGTTCAGTTTTTTCATTACCAAGATCATCGGGTAAAAATGATGTTGTAACTTGAATATTACAAAAATTTTGTTCTACTCCTTTTACTTCATTTTTCTTTTCCTAAATAATAAAAATTTATTATTTGTTACTGATATTAATGGCTATAAAATGTATACAAAATTACCTCAGAATTGTTGTCAATTTTGGAATCTTCTCCAGTATTTTCACTGTCGCTTTCATCCTTGATTTTTGGAGGAGTGAAATAAGGTATCTTACCACGCAACCAATCATTTAAAATCATTTTAGCTACGGTGCTCAAATCAGGCTCTCCTTTTTTTAGTAATTTGCCATACTTTTGTGCTAGCTGTGAAAGAAAATCTATATGGTCTGTCCACTCGCGTAATTCATAGGTACGTTGTAGGTATTCTTTACGAACTATTTCTAGTATTCTTGGAATGTAATCTTCTGGTGTTTTTAGATTCTCTACGCGCACCTATAAAAGATAGTATGAATCAATAACAATAATATTATCATTATAATTCAACAAATTTTTTAATACTTACAACACCTTTAAGCACAATATCTGTTTCACTGTCCTCTAATGAAGGTGGTACAATTCCCGGACAATCTATTAAATATATACGTTTCATTAACGTAATATATTGCCATACCTATACGTACAAAAAATCTGTTAAGAAAAAAAATATACAAAAATCACATTCTTATCAAAATATTTACCTTTGTTTCACCAGGAATTGGAGCAACGTTACACACTTTTTTACTTCTCAAAGTGTTTATAATTGAACTTTTCCCAGTGTTGGGATAACCAATGAAACCTACACTAATTTGTTTCTTATCTGAATGTAACGCTGAAAATTGCCTCAATAGTTGTATCAAAGATCCTTTACCAAAAGAATTATTGATGCTAGCATGAAATGCTAAAGTTGGATATTCTTTAGACAGTATACCAACCCATTTCGCCTGAAAAAAAGTATCATGTCAGTAACAATCAAGAAAAACTTTTATACAGATGTGTGATTCGATACTAAGAAAAGCAAAAAAGTAATTATCATTGCTCTTCAACTCTATTTCAAAACACATCACTTCTATTAGAGCATTTTTAGAACAAAAAAACTCAAGTCGAAGTGCAAATTTATTCTGCCATAATTGTAACGGGTAATCTTCTACTAGTTTAAAAATAAAGCTACCTTGACTTCATATGGCGAGATCAACATGCACGCAATTCAATTGCTAAATAATGCGTAATTATAAAAAATCAACTTACAGTAACCCAAGTTGGTACTAGATCGCATTTATTTAGTAAGAATACTAAATGTTTATGATTAACTTCCTTATTGATATATTGTACAACATTCTTGCATTGTGTGCCAATTGGATCTCGTGCATCCAACACATGAATTACAACATCTGATGAATCTATAACCTAAAAAGTTGAAAATTTAGTAAATTAACTAACATGATAAATACACATATTAAAACTCACTCACTTTATATAATTCGTTCCAAATACGTTTTGATTGACCTTTTGAAAATACACTGTCTCTAGCCTCATCGATCCAATCATTTATATTATTAGATAAAAGTGATGGATCATTTTTTTCGCTATAATTTTCTAATAATTCATTCGTACTAGTTGCTAAATCCTCCAATGAACTAACTTTTAGTTTTGGTCGTTTCCTCTGTGCTTTTGGACCAAATGTATCTGAAAATGGTTCAGTATCAACCATGTGCATTCGTGATACCTATTAATTAAAATCTATTAAATTACTCTTCAAAAATTTTTTCACTTGGATGTTTGTCGAATATACCTTTGATGCATCAGCCAATAAACTCATGGGTAATTTATTTTGTCGAAGTAAAACTTGATATGGATCATTAACTTTTGAACCAAGACTTTCTCTGAAAGCTTCTAACTCTTTTTGTCCAATAACTCTAGTATTTCCTAATTAATTATTAATCATAAGGAAAAATTAAAAAGTCTCATTATTCTCACTCTATAACAATTCGAATTAAATATTAAACTTACCGAACCACCTTCTATCTGGTTGTACTCTAGCAGCAATTGCCAATTTACTCTGAAAAGGTGCTTCCTTTACTATTTTTCCTTTAGAATTCCTTATCGGCTTCCCTCCCTTGAGCATATTAACAAATTTCACTTTTTTAGCATCTCGATAAAAATTCTCTCCTTTTACTTTTAAGTTACCAGCTTTCACTGGACCAGCATTTCCATTTTTACTTTGCTCTTTAGCGATTCTGTTCTTTTCTTTTTTAGCTTTACCCATATTTTTACTATTTGGATGATATCTTTTTTTTTTTGATCTAATAAAAATAAATATATTTAAAGTACGACAATCGGATCAGCGTTTTCTTTCATATGACTTTTGACCGGAGCTTATGGGCATTATGTGTAACAAAAAAACAGTAACGGAAATTTACACTTAGAATATTGATTATATAAAATCACGTGAATTTTGTTAGTGAGATATAAAATATGATATTTATAATATATTTTATATTTAATATATTTGATAATTTATGCGATTTTGTAAAAACCATTCGAAATATTTAATTCTTCGGTATTAAGCAGTAACGTGACATGCCAAACAGGAAACGAATATTATAAATGATATTAAATGTTACATATTATGTAAATAATTTTTGCTAATTTGGGATTAATTTGAAATTATTATCATAAATCTGTTCCTAAAACGGTTTAATCAATGTCTCTGATAGATATCGTCGAGATTACAATTTCGACGACTTAATTTAACTTCTCTTTATTTGGAGAAGATTTTTGTCGAATGTTGTAGGAGGTCTTGGTGGGGTGGGTAATGATTAGCTATTACTGAGTGTGATTTCTCAGATTTATTTTTTCTCAAAATTAAAGGAAGGAAATATAAAATCGGATAAATAAAATGTATAAGGCGCATTCAGGAGAGGATCAAGGAAACCAGATCTAATCTTTACGATACTGTTCCTGCTGCAGGACGCCCCCTCTTCCTTTTCTTCTGGCTGGACATACCAGTACAATGGTCACAATACCATCTGCCTTCTGGAACAGCGGAGAGCCCAACGCAATCGATATGATACCATTCGAAGGGACAATTCTATTCAAAAAAAGAGATCACCAATATGAAAACGATAAGGCCAGTTAACCAACTGGGTTCACATTAATATGTATTACATTAATAATCCTGAAAATTTTACTTATATTTATTACATACCTCTCCGTCGCAACCTATCATTTCCCCAAAACTCACTTGACGGCAGAAGCAATACACCGGTTCGTTTGGATCCACTGCCGGTATATAGTTGGACAAGAAAGTGTTACCTTCAGAAACTAGCGAATTATCATACGCCGCTGCTGAGTCATCTTGATCCAAAAGGTTGGTACCATTAATGCCACTTGAATCTGTAATCGACGAGGATACGAGATCTTCATTAGGTCCTCGTAATTTAATATTTCTATTGTTAACCACAGTTTCGATATTCGTTGCGTATGAAGTAGTGCTGCCCTGAATATTACTGTTTTATATAATATTTTTTTTTTTTAAAAAAAAATATAAATATAAGAAATAAATACAACTTAATAAACCAATTATTATACGAGATTAAAGTTACTTCTGTTTTCGACGCCTTCCGTTATTTGCGCCGCTTGTTAAAGCTATTGAACAATTTGTAACAACAGAAACTTTAGAAATCTAAAGTAAAATAAAAAAAAAGAAAAAAGAAAAAATGTAGAATTATAAGAGAAAAAAAAAACCGAAATTTCATACCTTTATTTGATCGAGTTAAGGAGCTCGACGGGTTGGGAAGCATTGGCAACGCTATATAAATAGCGAAAGTCGAATGAATTATTTGTATTGTACAAAGTTAAATATTAAATTAAAAAATAACACACAAATTTGTCCTTCATCAGAGTCAGCACTTGAATATAGTCCTTTATTATAATCGTATGTCGCGGATGGAAAACTAGATGATGTAGCTGATACTGATGAGTATGCCGCATTTCGAGCGGTCGCATGTGTTGAAGCAGAAGTACTTGACTGAGCTATTGTTTGAGATGCGGAAAAAGTCGAAGAATCGACTCTGCCAGGGCTTGCAGGGGTTGACGTCGATGAATCGCGAAGATTGTGCTGTGGAAACAAGCTATCAAAATCTTCATCGAGGCGTTTAATATGTCTATCGACCTTTATAATTTTATATTTAATTAAATTTTAATAATAATAACAAGTTTCTAAACGAACATTACAAATATAGTGTGATATTTACAAGCAACCAAAAAAAAAGTTATAATTTACCAGTGCCAAGGCCCTGTTGGCAAGTTCAATCTTCTCATCTTGCAATTGCGAAGCTCTCACATAATCTTTAATTATTTTATCTTTAAGCATTTCTTCATCTTCAAATTCTGTAACAACACGTGTTACTCGACGTCGCTTTTTCTTAATAATTTGTTCTCCATCTTGATCTTCGTTGTAACGATCATCATCACTATTAGAATCCTCATCTTCTTCATCATCTTCATAAACACTTTCAACGACAGAACAATCACTGTCTTCATCTATAGGAAGACCATCATACAAATTCCACAAACGCCTCTTACGACGGTCGATTCTTTCTGTCAATTCTATTTAGGTTGATTGATAAAAAATACGAAAGGTTTAAAGATCGTTATAAGCCTATTTCCAAAAAAGGAAATTCTATTTTTACTCACGTTCAATTTCTTGGTCCTTATTTGTTAGTTCAGAGAAGTGATAATGTATTTCTGAAGGAAGATTATCAATACCTTTGAAGATATTTTAGAATAAACACGTTAATTTATAGTTGATTCATACTTTTCATGAAAATTTACTCTACAAAATATTAATCTAAATATATGAAAGAACTCTATAATCCTACTTCCTAAGAATTGTATTAAGTATTCGTTAGCGTCTATTGCTTCCATATTTACAATAAGAATAGTTAAGAGTAGTAATGAAAAGCTTATTTCTATAGATTTTACACAAGAGAAGTAAGATTTGATTTGAAGTACCAGATCGAAATAGGTCAACTAGGTAAAGATATCGGAGCGAAATGGAAATTAAAATATGAGCGTAACAAATGATTGGTTGAATAAATCTGTCGACAAAGACACCTGCTGGGTTGCTCGCGATTCACGATCCCGAATGATTTTCCAAAAAAAAAATATAGTTATATAGCTTCCACCCTGTATTTGTAAATGAGAATAATTCCTATTTATTGTAATAACTTACTTGTGAAAAAAAAAGAATGCTATAAAAGAAATTTTAGAAAAAAAAATGTTATCACAAGCAAATATTACATTAAAGAAAGGAATACCTTTTAAACAAATATTAAAGCATTTTCATTATTTAAAACGAGGATTTGATGGTGGTAATTTAAAATATTCCACAACCTTAAAAAATATCTATAATGATAAGAAGTTACTATGTACTAAACAAACACCAAATATAATATTAATTGGGAACTTTTTGATGAGAAAATATTCAACAGAAATTTCAAAGGATATTGAAACACCTTTAAAACAAAGTGACTTGAATAATAACAAAAATGATACATTAATATCAAATAGTTTTAATAGATTGGATATTAATAAGTTTATCAATTGCTTAAAAAATGGACAAATTAATGAAGCAAAATCACTCATATCAACACAAGAATATTGTACAACAATTGATAACATAATAGATTTCAAAAAATTTTTAATTCGACACTTGGACTTTTCTGATGCAGAATTATTAAATAAAGTAAACGACATTTTAAGTGACCAATTTGTTCAAGTTTCTTTAAAATTGAATCTTTATAAATCAGACCCACAGGTATTAAATTTATATGATGAACTATCACATAAAGGTATTCCAGAACCATATCTTGGATTGTCTTGTGTACACCTTTTATCAATTATAATGTCTAGGAATTTTGAATTATCACCACCCAAACATGTTATTTTAGAATTTCCTATCAATATTGATAGAAAACATTTGGAGATTTTTATAAATTTATTTAAAAAAGGAGATTTAGAAGGAGCAAAAACATTTTTAAAAACAAATAATTATGCTACAACAATTCATGATACATTAGAATTTAGTAATTCTTTAAGGTATTATTTAAATTCTGATCATGAATTATACAATATGTCGGTTGGATTCTTAAAAGACTATTTAAAAAATATTCTTTTTCCAATTGTTAATGAACAAGAATCCAAAAAATTTATCCAAGATTATAATCAATATTCTTTAACATATTATATAAAGAAATCATATTCAAACCAAGTTCTCTATATATATGAAGATCTTTTGAAAAAGGATTGTGTCCTTTCTGATGAATCTAAACTTGCAATATTTTGTGCTTACATAAAATCAAATGATGATAATTTAGCTATAAACTTTTTTATCTCTAATATTTCTTCATCACCAAAATTTTCTCTCTCCATTTTCACAAAAAACATTCAACCATTATTAAATGAAATAGAATATAATAAAGCACAAGAAATATTACGACATCATTATATTCAACAAATTTCACCAAACACAAGAGAAATCACAAGTTATGTAACTAAAATTTTTTCTAATAAAAATCAACAAACAAAAACTTTAGCATTAGATCTTTATGAAAAACTTTGTAAACTTGGAATACCAATAAATCCAATTACATACGGAGCATTTATAATGGGATTCTTATCACAAGATAGATATATTGAGGCTGAATCCATTTTTAATGATATGATAAAAAGAGGTCAAACTCCCAATCAAATTATATATAGTGGAATGCTTGATGGGTTTTCAAGAAGACGTGAGGGAACTAAGAAAATGAATGAACTATGGAAACAAATGTTAGCTGATAAAATTTCACCTGATGAAATCGCTTATTGTGCTATGATTGAAACCTATTTTAGAAATGGAAATATTCGTGATGCGATTAAATTATTTCAACAAATGTCTTTAGATCAAAATATTAAATTAAATGATATAATTTATAATCGAATTATTAGTGGGTTATTATTAAATAATCGAGTGGATGAATCCATGATTATTTATGATCAGATGAAAAAACGTAATTTATTCCCTAATATAATTACTTATAATACTTTAATTAATAAATTATATGATAAGAAAAAAGAACAACATGTAATGACGATTTTACAAGATATGCAACAATTTAATATTAGACCTGATGTAACAACATTAACAACTCTTTTAAAAATACAATTTCATGATCGTAATATTGATGGAATACAAAAAGTTTTAAAAATGTTTGATTCTTTAAAAATTGAACCAAATATACAAACTTATGGTACTTTAATAAGTGGTTTTTTAAATGATTTTAATGATCTAAATAGTGCCGAATCTGCTTTTAATGAAATGATTTACAAGCATAGTTTATCATCTCCAACTGTTCACATTTATACTAATTTAATACAAGGTTATATTAATCATGGAAAATTTCAATTGGCTGATCAATTATATTTTAAGTTATTACAAAATAATTTTCCTACAACTGCAACTTTTAATATACTTATTGGTGGTTATTCTAAGGCAAATAATTTAGATAAAGCAAAACAATATTATAATGAGATGATAAGATTGGGTGTTAACCCTTCTTCTTCTACTTATAAAATTTTAATTGATGGTTACTTGGCTTCTAAAAATATGTTTGATGCTTCTCAAATTTATGATGATATGATAAAAGCAAATTTTATTCCTATGGAACCTGATTTGAAACGACTTTGCCAAATAATAGAACAATGGAGATCGAGACAATCTAATATTAATCAAGTTTTAAAAGAAAAATAATAGATAAAATTATAATTATTATTAAATTTGTAAATAAAAAGACAATTTTAAATTATAAACAATTATCATTTTTAAATTTGAAAATCGTGTAGTCCGTGCATATCATTTGATTCATTTTATTAAAATTATTGATCTAGTAGTACAAAAGATCGCCCGATAGCAGCTTTTTTTTTCGGGATGTTCTTGCGTAGCTGCAATTAGCACAAGGATGTTGTGTAAAATTTTTTTTTTATTCCAGTATATGGTTAGATTTTTTTTTTTTTAAAAAAAAATAACTTCCTTCTCTTGAGAGAGGAAGCATCTAACATCTTGGTTTTTTTTTTACAAAATAATTTCTTTGTATTATATTTATTTAATTTTTTTCATTATTTATCTTGAAAATTAACATTACCCTTTTTTCAATATGACAACATCTCAACCACCAAATACAAATCCTTCAAGAGTGATACCTTTGACATGCTCAGGGCATACACGACCTGTGGTTCATTTACAATTTTCACCCATCACTGATGGAACCTATTATTTGATAAGTGCTTGTAAAGGTATTTAATCGATTTTTTTTTCTATCAAGTTGGATATTTATAAAAAAATTGTAATGCAATATGATTTCATATATAACGTCAGATGGAAATCCTATGCTTCGAGATGGCCCAACGGGCGATTGGATAGGTACTTTTACGGGCCATAAAGGAGCAGTCTGGAGTGCAAAACTAAGCAAAGATGCATCTAAAGCTGTGACAGCATCAGCCGATTTTACCGCGTATGTGTTTATTTAATTTTTGCAACTATAATGATTAATCACAAACCCAATCATAATTAACATTTGAATTGTATTAATTTATAGTAAAGTATGGGATACTTACACTGGAGATATCCTTCATTCATTCACGCATGATCATATTGTTCGTTCAGCGGACCTTTCAGATGATGGAACACGCATTGTATCTGGTGGACAAGAAAAGAAACTCAGAATATTTGACTTAAATAAACCAGATGATCCAGCTTCTGAAGCAGAAGGTCATGAGTCTACTATTAAAAGTGTTATTTGGGACGGTGAAAGAAACGTCATATTGAGTGCAGGGGATGATAAAGAAATTCGGTGAGCTAATCACCATTATTTATGCAATTTTTTAATAATCAATTTAGTATAGATTTAGTAATCTATTTTTTTCCTTAAAAAAAAAAGCGTTTGGGACGTTCGTAATTTTGATCAAATAAATACTTTTAAGACTGAACACCCTATTACTAGTATGGAGCTTTCTGCTAATGGAAAATATATTACATCAACAGCTGGCAAAGTTGTTCACTTTCTAGATGCTTCAACGTAAGTATAAAAATTTTAAATAAATTTAATATTTTAATTGATTTTATATTAATTAGTTTTTTTGGTTAGCTCAGTTATCAAGTTTTTAAATCAGTTCCAACTGCTTATGATGTATCTTCAGTATCTTTACATCCTGATCACAAAAGATTTGTGGCAGGTGGTAGTAATGACTTATGGGTGAGAATTTATGATTTTGAGAGTGGTAAAGAACTTGGTTGGTATTTCTTTTTTTTCGAAGCTTTTCTAAATTGGAGGATTTGTTTCGTTTAGCTAAATGAGTCATTTCACATAAATAGAGGTATATAAGGGTCATCATGGTCCAATTCACACAGTAAGTTATAGCCCTGATGGCGAAATCTATGCTACCGGTTCAGGTATGTAATAATGATAAATAAATTAAAATATAATTATTCACTTATTAATTTATCTTAATATTTTACAGAGGATGGTACTATAAGACTGTGGCAGGTAAGAACAACATAGCAAAATAATTTTTACTTTGAATATTGGTTATATTGATTCATTATTAATGTTTAGACAACACCTGGAAAGAGTTATGGTCTTTGGCAAAATAAAGCATCTAAAGATGAAAAAGAAAATGATGTAAATGGCATTGCTCCAACAGAATAATAAACAATAAGATGGATATTATAAAAAAAAAAAAAATAAGATCCTTGTAATTTACATTTTTTTTTGTTTTTGTGTATACCAGTTTATTATTACTATTATACTTATTATCTTATCACTACTCTCAATTTCGAATATAATTGAACGAAATAATTGAATAAAAAGAGTAAAAGTAAACAAGAAAAAAAAGGATATTTCCCCCAAAAAAAATTAAAAATTAAGAAAAAGGTAAATTTTGTATTTATAAATATTTTAAAATTCAATTGTTTGTATTAAATATATTTATCTTTATAATTTGAATACTATGAATATTATCTATATTCTATAGAAATTAAACTGTAAAAGCAATGCAATTTTTTACAGTTATTATTACTATTTTATAATATATCCTGAGTCATTGGATGTTTGAAGTACTTCAATAGTATCATAATCTCCATCAATGTCTTTTAGGAATAAGACAACATTAGTATTTCCTACGCAAATGCAGACCAGAAATACTTAATATAAATTATATTTATGTATCCATACCAATATAATCATTATCTGATTGTGTTGATGTATCCACTGATGCGGAATTTCTAGAAAAAAAAAGCTGTAAATAAATTATTGTCGTAAATGCTATATGAATATTATTCTGCCTTATCATCAATTACCCATTATATTTATATTGTATATTTTTGGATCCATCAGAATACTCCATAGAAAATGAACGTTTAATAGGTGAATTTGGACTATCAAGTGTCGAATTTTCTGAACTATAAGATAACGTTGACGATTTCGCTGTAAATTGTTAATTTAAAATAACCTTGTAAATAAATACTATCATTCAAGAAAAAGAAAAACTATTCGCTTCATTTTGTAAATTTACCACTTACATAACTTTTTTGTATCATAAATAAGAAAAAAAATTATTATTAAATATTAGTAATATTATAAACATGAAAGCCGCATATCAATTTTTTAACTTTTAATACCTTTGATGACGAGAAAGCTGATGTTTCTTCTACCGTCTCTGAAACTTTAAAGAACATATCAAATGTTAATATCTATCTAATTATGCCTAATGAGTAAATATAAAAGTAAAATAATACTCACTAATCGATTTTTGCTTTTTTGACTTTGTATATTTAGCAGGAGACGATCTCTAAAAAAATATACTTTATATAATCGAAAAAATCCTTTGGCGAAATACTTCTACGTTATAAAATGACAAAATACCATACCCTTGATTTTCCATTTAATTTCTTGCCTAATATAAATTCAATAAATGTCATGCTTAAAATGAATTTGAAACAATTTATATAATGATGTCCTAAACTTACGTTTTTTTTCAAATTTTTCAATATATAAACCTCCATCCGAGTCACTTTGATTTAAGTTATCTTCAGATAAAGTAGTGTATGGTGATGAAGGATTTCTATCATTTCCTATTCTAATATATGTTAAATATGGAATTGTAAATAATTTGTTCTATTGAGTAATAAAATATAATAATTTCATACTTTAAGTTTGCAACACGACTTGAACTTCTACCCGCCAATCCCAAACACTTTTCCAAATGTGGAGCATAACGCTTTGATGGATAAGGACGTTTACAATTTACACATTCAAATTTTGGCGAATCATTTTGTTGAGGACGATTTCCAAAAATATCTAACCCAGGCTGGGTTACTAATCGTTGATACTATATCATCAGTAGTAGAAAACATTCAGTCATAAGATTTACATCACATACCAAAAGATCGACATCTAAATATTCAATAATTACTATAAATACATTATGTTTATAAGTTTATGAATTGAGTTATTATCTTAAGACTTACTCCGAGTTGCATAATTGGCACACAGATGCGGCCAATTTTGTTTCTCTATGAGCTTCAAATGCAACATCTAATATGCACTCGTCTAATAAATCGCATAATATTGAGAACGCCTAAAAAAAGAGAAGGAACTTATAAAGTTAAAATTAGTTTAGGAAGTAATTTACATAAAGTAATTACAAACCAAAATTCCTTTTGTTGGTATATCTGAAGGCTGTATAGATAATGACTTGGAATTAAAGTTATCTATATAACCAGGCGAGTGACTTGAATCTTCTGGGTTCTGTGAAAAACTTGTCATAATTTGACGCGTCAGTAAAATTTGTTTGCAGATTAGGTAATTAGTTGGGAAATGAGAACATACTTCTCGACATCATCGTTGCTTTGAGACGAAGGCGAATGATCCATGTTTGAAACTGACATTTATTCTATTCTATTCTATTCTATTCTATGCAAAGAGATCAAATTTATTGTACTGTAGTTACAGTAGTTACACAACTCCTCGGATTTCACCTACTGCGCCATCAAGCTGACATACTTATGATCTAATTCACGTGTCGAGAACTTTTTTTCAATAAATTGCTCTGATCAACTTTACTTTTTTATCCGTTTTGTTTCAAAGTAATATAAATTTATATAAATTGACTTACAATCTGAGTTTTAAAAAAAAAATTATATAAACATGACAGAACCAGGAAAGGTTGAGAAAGCCGATAAAGAAAGTGATATCGAGTTTAAAACAGATAGTGTTTTTAGTGTTTTCGAATTTAAAATTCCAGAAAAAAATAATAGTATCTTATTTAAACGAAATCTAAAGTATCAAACGAAAAGACACTTTTATATTGGCTGTTTTTATGTTTTTACGGTTTTGGCTGGAACATTTTATGGGTCAAATAAACAAAAGTCTTTACCATCTTCTGAAACAAGTTGGTTTGACGTAACAAATAAGTCCAACTTAATTAATCTGTATATTGTTAAAAACGGTTGGTTTTGGACATCATTTATTTTTATAATATATGCTACACGTGTAATTCACGCAAATAACCCGTTACAAATTGCAAAATCCGTAATTCGTTGGATACTAGCAACGTTATATTGGTATATTATAACACAAAGATTCTTTGGTCCAAGTATCATAGATAGGATTTTTGTGTTTACTGGAGGGAGATGTGATAATTATCATTCTGAGACTCAAGTATTTGAAGCTTATGTCTGTAAAAAGGGTGGTGGACGTTGGACAGGTGGATATGATTTTAGTGGACATTGTTTTTTATTGATTCATGCTTCTCTTCTTCTTTGGGACGAAATAAGCGCTTTCACTTATCGACCAGAGAATTGGGAAATCGCCAAAGAAAAAAAAATACTTTCTTTCTTTTTTGTTCTTTTTCTTTTTCTTTGGTGGTTCATGTTAGTCATGACTGCTGTTTATTTTCACCATTTTTCCGAAAAATTGGCTGGTACTATATTCGGAGTTTTATATTGGATATTTATGTATTATGTACGAGCTAATTGGATGATTTGCTTGATGCCACACGATTTAAAGGATCTGGAAGAATACGAATTATAATTTTGTTTAATATTTAGATAAACTTATCAACTATACTTATAAAAGCTGATCCAAATACAAGAATATTTTCTTAGAGATATTGTTTTTTTTAATGTTTAATTTAATCAGTTGAATTTATTTTATTTTTATGTGGTCGGTCACTTTTTGTAACCTACTATATAGATTACTATAAGTCAAAAATGTAATTTAAATAAATATAAGATCGGAACCATGACGTCATGTGATTATTTTTATATTGATATCTTAACTAAGAAAGGAATGTTCTCTTTTATTAACAAACTCTTTGATTGCAGATAAAAATAGTTCGTATGTCATTCCATCAGGTACATAAACAAAGTGTACACCTAATTTGTAGTTGACTTCTTTATTTCTCATTTCATCGTCAAAGAAAATCATTTCGTCATACGGAATTCCAGTTATTGCATGTAGAGAACTAAAGTGGTTTACTTTTGAGCTAGGGTATATTTCACTATAATCAATAACGTCGGCTAATGTATTATAATTGATAACTTTAGATGATGATCCATTAGTTACGGATAATTTAATTGATTCTTCGTCTTCATTCTCAGGGAAAGGCATAATAGACAAGACTTTCCGTGCCCTAATTTTGCAAATTCAAGGTAAATCAAATGAAATGTTATGAAACTTATAAGACGCATACCATTCTGGTTCTTGAGTTCTTGATGCGACAGCTATGTAAGTTTGTGGACAGTTTTTAACGGTTCGGAGAATTTTTGGAACATCAGGATATAATCTAATTACATTTCCATACCTATGGCAAACAAATTTAATTAAAATAATGAAACAAATCACACTATGAATTGATTTTAAACGTTCGTACTTATCTTTAACACGATAAGGTTTGGAAGGATCAGCTTCAAAAGGAGGGCCAGGGCATGCATCGATCCTGAAATTTTAGAACTAATTTATTAATTTTCATATGGGTATTTTTCGCGCTTTAATACGAACCATAAAGGCCAGAGAGTATAATCAATATCGAATACAAATAAAGAAGGCAAATGGTTGTTATTCGATAGTTCTTTAAGCATATCCATTGAAAAGAATTTTTAGTAGAGATATACAACGTGACACATCATTGTGATTGTGATTACAACTTAAATCGGCAGAATGCATGTGATAATTTTGGGTTTCAAAATTCGGTTACTCTTTTTTTTTTCCTTAGGCGATCTATCATTTCATGTCGCTAATACTTTGCTGATATAGTTCGATTAAAGAATTGTTCGAGAAGATATCATTTTCTTCTCCTTCACAAAACCAAAGCCTTATTTGCTCGTGATATTTTTTCTGCTATAAAAGATTCAGTACAAATATACTTTGGCGATTATGGTGTTGGATGTATTGCAGCTTCCATTAGTGGTATTCGAATTTTTTCGGTAACTTTTAGCAAACTACCTTTTTTTACGAATTTAATAAATATTATCCGTCATATATTTGTCTCCGTTCACAAATATTGGTGTACTTAGAATATCAAGAGAACATTATCATATCATTTGGGGTGCAATGACTTATATTACACAAATAGACGAGACGTGTATTACATACATTAGGTGGTATTATTGAGATCTATAAAGACCTTTTTTTTAAAAAAATTAAATAAATAAAATGAAAAAACAAGCCAATTGTCTGCTGAATTACGCGGTAAAAAATTATGTAATATTTTTTTTTATTATTATAATTAATTTTGATTTGAACATTGATGAATTATTTGAAATCAAATTATGGTTATGAAAATTTTTTAGAAATAATGTGGGGTTAGCTTTAATTTGTTTGTGATTTAGATAACATTAGATTAGTGCAAGAGTTGACAAGGTTTGCAAAGGCAAAATGAATTAATGGCTTGATCCAATTTAATTCTACTTCTAGTTTTTAGAAAAAAAATACATACAATTTAGGCCAGAACTATAAATTTTTTGGTCAAATTATAAATATAACAGATTCTGGTTATGTTTTTAATGTATTGCCAAGAGCCAAATCGGCATTATTTTAATAATAAATTTTGGAGCTTAATGATTTACATAAACAGGGTTAATATAATTATATAGAATATGATTTAATATGAATACCGTATACAAATTAATAAGTTATCAAAAGAAAGAATGATTCAACTGGTCAATCAGAGTTCTATCACGTGAATCTGAAGAATTTAAATCAACTCCAAAAATACGTTTAGTACATAAACTTTATAGTTTTCTAACAGTTCTATAAAAATGCCCAACCAAAACCTTCCTGCAAATGTAGATGAACTTCTTCAGTTCATTTCTATGAATGTGAACAGTGATGGCTATGATAAGCAACTAGCACCGGTCTTGAAACAAATTCCACCGCAATACTACTTGCAGTCTACTAGCGATAATAGAGACCCTTTAGATCTTTTGGATCAAACCATTTTCAGTTTACCCTACACTTACTTCCTGTAGGTTATTAAGACTTAAACGATTTTCTTGTTTTAAGCTTGCAGAACGCTCACGAAAAATTTTTGTTGTTTTAGTGCCGCGCGATGTCAAGCGGATAGACCAAACACTGCGCGTTTAATTCAATATATTCTTCAATTTTTGACGGTATTTGACGCGAATCAAGTTCGACTAATACCCGATAAGTGTAAGTATTACTTATAAGTCACATACTTATACAATATTAATTAAATCTTATGTATGTTAACTTTTTACTCGTTAGTCCTGCAAGTTGCTCAAGGGTTGTGTAGATTAGCTACCCTTTATGGAAACGGAAACGTAAGAAAGTAATCGTAATCGCAAAGCATAATTGAATAATTCATAGTATAATTTACTCAGAACTATGGTTCTAATTTGCATTGTCTTAGAGTGTCATCGCCATTAAGCCACTCGCGAATGCTATTCAGAGATATGCTCTTACCCCAAATCATCTCACGAATTTACACCAAATGTTTGTTAAGGTAATCAAATATTTTATACCTATTATTAATTGTCTTTACTAGTTTATTTCTAAAATCTTTTATCGCGTACTTATCAATTAGGAATGTTTGTTATTGAAATGTTATAAGCAAGCACTTCCAATATTGCAAAACGATATTACTGAAATAGACGTACAGGTGAACAACTTGAGAATTACATTATATAATAATTTTTGTAGTTACTTATTGTTTAGAATTTCTAGAGTACGGCGATTTCCTATACCGATCATTTGCTATATCATTATTATGGCGCGATGATTTATATAGGATTAAAGAATTACGAACGTGCCCTTTATTTCTTAAAACTGGTGAGATAGTTTTCTGGGTTATTAAGTTTTTAATATATAATTTTTTTCTAGCTGATTTGGCTTTTTTTTACTAAGGTGATATCAGCACCAGCGAATGTAACTAGTCAAATTCAAATCGAAGCTTATAAAAAGTTTACCTTAGTATCGCTTCTCCTGCATGGAAAGGTTAGATTAATATATGCTTGGTGATATTTAAATGAGGAACAATAACCATTTGTTGTTTTTTTTTTGAATGATATCAGATCGCTCAACTTCCTAAATATACTGCTAATGTAGTTTTTCGTTCAGTGAAAAATCAATGTCAAGCTTATCAAGACTATGCATCTGCATTTGAGAGCTTAAACGTAAAGCGACTGCGGAATGAATTCAATAAATGGACCGATGCCTTTAGAAAGGTGGAGTTTTTTTAAATAAAAAAATGAATTTAAATTTGTATTAAATAGTTTTTTTTTTTTTTGAAATGTGTTTACTTTCACGATAGGATAAGAATCTTGGTTTAGCAAAACAAACTCTTGATGCTATTTATCGACGAAACATTCAACAATTGACACAAACTTATTTGACATTGTCATTAGCTGATATTGCGGATGCAGTGGGTTTAGAAGGACATGATGCACCGAAAATGGCCGAGAGTTATGTCCTGCGAATGGTATTTATTATATTTACTTTTCGTTATATTTAAAAGTATATTGTCTTATCATCTGTTATAATAGATCGAATCTCGCGAGATATTTGCTACCATTAGTCACTCTCACCAGAACGGAATGGTATCCTTTCACGATAATCCTGATCGTTATGATACCTCACTAACAATTACTCAGCTCGAAGAACAAATAAACAAAGCTACTACCGTGAGCGAACGTGTCATTAAAACTGATAGGATTGTGGGATGTAGTAAAGAATATCTTCAAAAGGTGAGAATATTATATTATTATTTTTGTTACTATTAATATATTAAATAACATATAACTTTGTATCTTTAGAGCCAACATATACTTGCTGGAGGTGCAATTCCGGGTGGACTCGGTCCTGGTGATGATCCTGATTTCTTAGGAGGTGGTGGTGGTTATGAGAATTTCATTGATGATGGAAAATATTTTAGCTAAAAAATGGATGTTTTCACTAATCTATATACTTATGTTAAGTTACGTGGCATTATTAGATATTAATTAAATTTATTACATGAATTATGTAAGTATGTATGATTTAGCATCCATGCTGTGAAATTCTTTCATAATTATAAATTAATAAAAAAAAAAGGAAACTTTACAGAATGATTGAAGTGATAATAAATATTAATAATGGCAAATGGTAATGATAAATATAAATTTAGCCTTTACGCATACGATTACCTAATTTGTAAAATAAATATTAATATTTACATAAAATATGAAATATACTAAAAAAGTTAGTTTTACCCGATCCATAGGGATGAGAGTCTTTGAATTCATCCCATTCTCGTGCTTTGAGCGTCTCTTCATCTATAGCACGCTCATCGTTATCATCGATTTCCTTCTTTTCTGGTATTTGCCTGAAAGAACATTATTATAAATAAACTATTTACATCTTATATAAGATATCTTTACTTCTTACCCTCCTCCGCTAATGATATTGCCTCGTGCAGCTTCTTGCTCAAGATATTCGTCAATAGTCATTGTTGGAAGACGCCAGCCTGGTCTAAAGACTTGTTCTCGAATGGTTTCGCGATTCGTGATAACAAATGGTCGAAGTGGCTACATAGAAAATAAAGATTAATCTATTTTTTATACATATGAATGAATAAATCTTACCTTTCCATCTTTCGATAATAAGGGACCAGTATCTCTAGAAATGGTTTCGACCTTATTGTCATCCAACAAAGGACTGGGCCCAGATTGTTCACGAGTTTTTCGCATTTGATCAAGTAATTCAAGCTCTTGTTTAATTGAAATTAATTGTTCAATAGATTTTTGTATGAACAAATCAATAAGAGTCAAGGTATGTTCGCGACTAATATCTTCTTTGTCATTATCTTCAAAAGATAACAACGTTTGTTGTAAAGTCTATTCCAATTAACGTAACAATTCCAAATGAGTTAGCCAATTAACTAAGCAAAGATGATAGCGAAATGTAGTAGATAGATTACCTCTAACTTCATTTTAGTCTCTTTCTCTCTTTTGTAACGCGCGATCTTTTCTTCACGCCTCTTAGCGGTATCCTTTTTAACTTCATTTGTTTGTATTTCAATAAATTTTCTATCCTTCAAATTATTAAATAAACGAATTATATGCTAACCAGTAAGACAAACTCAATTTAAAACAAGCTAATTTAAAAAACTAACCTCCTCTTTTAGTATTTCATGTAATTCGACATTCCTTAAAAACTGTTCAAAATATAACTTATAGACAGAAAAAAATATCGAAAACGATTGTTATGACGCGATTCATTTATAAGATATTTAGAAAATGAATACAAACTTTTGCCTCATTTAGTGTTTGCATTCGATCATTGTCAGTTAATTTAGTTGTAAGATCGCCAAGATAGGCTTCCACCAAAAGAAATCTACATAATCATATCGCGTGAGTATAAGTCAGTCTAAATCGCAAAAAATTTATCCTGCGGTTCTCTCTTTTTTTTAACTTGACCTTAAATCACTAGTATTAATATCTTCTACAGTTTCATTTGCACTAAAAATTTTTAATTTATCCACTAGTTCTACACATTTTCTAAAATGTGAAATTGCACTTTTAACATCTTGCTAATTATCCCCAATCGGGAAATAAACTTGTTTTAATATCTTTTTTTTGAAGCAATTAAAAAAATAACACTAATTAAATAAATACTTGATATAACTGGTCAGACGAAGCAAGTTCTGTATTCTCAATACTTTTATAAAGTTCTTGTCCCACGCGAAATTCTCCTGATAACGAATTTTCTGCCATTTAACATAAATTTCGCGTTCAGAATTAAAATTGACAAAAATTGCATCAATTTATAGATCTGCTGCCTATGATAATCATTGAACATAATTAAATTTCTGCCAAAATTATCATTTAACCTAAATTTTTTTTTTTGGATCAAATAATTGATTGAAAATTTTTTTTTTTCTTTGGAAAGATATCAGAATGGTGAGAAAACTGTACGATTTACTAAACGGTCTACGACTCTGGACCACCCTTTAAGAAACTAACTATTTTCTTTCATTGAATTGCTTCCGTTTAGGGAATGCGTCTGGAAATCAAGGTTTGTATATATTATATATACAATTTTTTTTTTTTATAAATTTAAATTGAAGTTATTTCGATCTAACTTTCGTTGACTTCAAATAGCGCAAATTGTTTGCCCGTTCAGATCGCGTAAAATGTGTAGATTTCCATCCGACAGAACCCTGGTTACTCGCAAGTTTGTATAACGGTAATGTGTACATTTGGAATTATGAGACACAGGTAAAAAGTTTCTTCTAAAAGAGAATCAAATTTAATTATATGACCAAAATTTAATTAATTTAATTTGAAAAATTATAAATGAATTTTTATGTGATTAACTCATTTTACATGTCAAAATATTTAGGCTTTGGTAAAAACTTTCGAAGTTACAGATGTTCCGGGTAACGTTAAAATAATTAAACATTATCAAACTTTATTCATGTACGATTAACATTTTATTAAAATTTTTTTAGTTCGTGCTGCTAAATTTATTGCTCGCAAGAATTGGCTAATTACTGGATCAGATGATATGCAAATACGTGTATTTAATTATAATACTCATGAGAAAGTTACAACATTTGAAGCTCATCCTGATTATATTCGATGTATTGCGGTACACCCTACTCAACCTTTTGTTTTAACCGGTTCAGATGATATGACTGTCAAATTATGGGATTGGGAAAAAGGATGGAAGAACATTCAGGTATCCCTTTAACTTTAATAGTTTTTTATCTTGATTTAAATTACGTAAATTACATATAAGTTCAATTTATCTCTTTGCAATTAAATAGATATTTGAAGGTCATACGCATTATGTCATGAATATAAATTTTAATCCCAAAGACTCGAATACTTTTGCTTCAGCTTGTTTAGATCGTACAATTAAAGTATGGTCTCTTGGTTCTGCAGTGGCGAATTTCACACTCGAAGGTCACGAAAAAGGAGTGAATTGGGTTGAATATTATCATGGTGGCGAAAAGCCATATCTAGTATCTGCTGCCGATGATAAACTTGTCAAGATTTGGGATTATCAAAATAAAACTTGTGTTCAAACTTTAGAAGGACATACTCAGAATGCTGCTTTTGCATGTTTTCACCCAGGATTACCCATTATTATTTCTGGTAGTGAAGATGGTACTGTTAAAATTTGGCATTCAAATACATATCGTCTGGAAAACACTTTGAATTATGGTTTAGAACGTGCTTGGACTATTGCCTACCAAAAAGGGAACAATAATGTCGCGTTTGGATATGATGAAGGAGCTGTTTGCGTCAAGGTTGAATATCATTAAAATTTCATTTGATTTCCATAGATCAATAACTGATTTGATATCATAGTTAGGACGTGAAGAACCAGCTGTTAGTATGGATAATTCTGGAAAAATAATTTGGGCAAAACATAACGAAATTCAAACAGCTAATATTAAGGCTGGACATGGTACGACGAAAACTTTTACTAGTATTTGAAAAGATATCTTCTTATTAAAAATTGTAAAAAAAAATTCTTTCAACTCTTTTAATAACAGACGATAATATTAAGGATGGTGATCGACTACCTTTACCCGTTAAAGATTTAGGCAGCTGTGAAATATACCCCCAAACATTGCAACATAGTCCCAATGGAAGGTATACGAAGATAAATTCCTTACTAAGAAAATATTAAAAAATAATACAAACCGTTCTTATCATCATTTAATAGATTCGTTGTTGTATGTGGTGATGGTGAATATATCATTTACACGGCACTTGCTTGGAGAAACAAAGGGTTTGGTAATGGTCTTGAATTTGTATGGGCTCTGGACTCAAACGAGTAAGTAAGTTTTCATATTAATGGATGGATCAAAGGATGAAATTGCTCATTTAACTTTATAAATTATAGATATGCTGTAAGAGAATCCACAACAAAAATCAAACTTTACAAAAACTTTAAGGAAAGGCCGAATTCTTTAAAATTGAATTTTACAGCTGAAGGAATTTATGGTGGAACCCTTTTAGGCGTAAAAAGTTCTAGTTTCTTAAATTTATATGATTGGGAAACATGTTCTGTTGTTAGAAGAATTGACGTTGTCCCAAAAAGCGTGAGTTTGTTTATTTTTATTACAGAAGCATAGTAATCATTCGTTTATTTTGTTTATTTTGATTCCCATTGAATTTAACGTAATATTATATTGGATTAATTATAGTTAAATAAGGAATATGATCAATTCTGATTTTTTTTCTGTGTTCGATTTGTAGGTACATTGGTCAGATATTGGTGATCTTGTAACCATAGCTTGTGAAGACACTTTCTATGTTTTACGATTTAACCGCCAAGCCTACACACAGTTCATAGAAAGTGGCGGGGAAGTCAGCGATGAAGGTGTTGAACAGGCATTCGAGTTTGTAACAGAAATTTCGGAGAGGTAAAATTAATTATTCTTATTTGATGTCTTTTCAAAAAATCCAACAATCTCGGACAAGCATAATTGTCTTTTTTTTTCTAGTATCAAAACGGGAACATGGGTTGGAGATTGTTTCATTTATACGAATGCTGTAAATCGATTGAATTATCTCGTTGGTGCTCAAACATTCACTATTAGTCACTTTGACACGTAAGTTCTATATTTTATCTTTCTTTATTTAAAAAAAACATTCTAAAATTAATCAATTATAGAAACATGTATTTATTGGGTTACATCCCAAAAGATAATCGTATATATTTGGCCGATAAGGTAACAAAATTTCAAACCCTGTTTGGCTTTATCCTAATCCTTAATCCCATTTAAACTCCTGTATGAATAAAAATTCATTATAGGATGTTAACGTATATAGCTATGCTCTTTCTTTGACCGTTATTGAATATCAAACTGCTATTCTTCGAAATGATCTTGAAACGGCAGAGCAGTTGTTGCCTACTGTACCTGCTGAACAACGGAATCGTATTGCGAGATTTTTAGAAAGCCAAGGTATTTTTAGCGAGAAATTAATGTCAAATTTAATGTTTTAAATTTTACTAAAACATTTGTTAATTATAGACCTTAAAGAACTTGCTCTCGAAGTTTCAACTGATATTGAACATAAATTCGAGCTTGCTGTCCAACTCAACAAACTTGATGTTGCTGTTGAAATTGCACGCGAAGCCGATACGGAAGCCAAGTGGAAGACTGTTGGAGATTCTGCTTTAAGCGATTGGAAGGTAATTGTTTAACCTGTATTAATTTTCATTCTTAGAGTCTATAACTCTCATTTATTCATATTATTTATTTAAATAGTTTTCTCTCGCTGAAGAATGTCTCAAAAAAGCCAAAGATTTGAGTGGGTTACTTTTGTTGTATACCTCGTCCGGTAATGCCAAAGGCATTAGAGAATTGGCTGAATCAGCTGGTATTTATTTTATAATAAACATAAAATATATATTTATTCACGTAATTAATATATTTTGTATTTGATATATGCGTAATCAAAAGCTACGGATGGCAAGAATAATGTTGCATTTGCATGTTATTTACAACTCGGCCAAGTGGAAGATTGTATAGAAATACTTATAAAAACTGATCGTATTCCGGAAGCAGCAATGTTTGCGCGAACTTATCTTCCAAGGTAAATATTATTTTTTTTTTTTTTAACATTAATTTTAATGTGATTAATAAAATCCACGGCAAATAAATTTATTTCACAGTCAGGTTCCAAAAATTGTTAAATTATGGAAAGAAAGTCTCGAGAAACAGAACAAAAAAAAGGCAGCTGAAGCTCTTGCAGATCCAGCTGATTATGAAAATCTATTCCCAGATTTCAAGCATGTAAGTTTTTATGTTTTTTTTAAGGAAAACTTATTCAGTTCAATATATTAAACATGTTTTAAAATTACTTTATACAGGCACTAATTGCCGAGGAACTTTCAAAGAAAACTCGAAATATATCTATTCCGGCCACATCTTACGCAGAATATAAAGATTCGCTTGATCAAGATATTATTGCAGGTATGTGACAGAATGTTTTACTAGTTTATTGAATAATAAATTTATAAATCATTTATTCTATGTAGAAATAAAAGAAAAATATCCTGATGGAGTATTACCATCTAACTTATCTCCTTTACACAATCGTCTTGTGAACAGTATAACAGCTAAAAAAAACGTGAATGGCGATATGGATGATGAAGTATATCTCATTATTTTATAACTAACAAAATTATCTCATTATCATTTATTTATAAATTTTTTTTTTTAAAAAAAACAATAGGTATCAGTTGATGATGATCGTGATAATATGAGCCTCTTGAGTATGGAAGGTAAGTATATTCAAATTAAATTAATTTTCTATCGATGTCCAACTAATTTAATCTTCAATATTGTTGTTTCTAATCTTAGTAAACACAACAGGTACTGGGTCAGTTCGTGTAAGTATATTAAGTATATTAAATGTTACATATTATATATTAGCTTGCAAGCAGTTTATGCAAATCTTTTTATTTATTAATTAGGGAGATGTTGATTTTGATGACGCTGCATCATTCGCAACATCTGAACATGAGCGTCCTAGTGAAAATTTAGTTTCTGAAGAAAAGGAATTGGAAGAGTTAGTCCAATCTTGATTAAACATGAATTCATTAAGAATTAACTAACAATGTAAATTAAATTATACTTTTTTTTTGGATTTATTGGATAATAATTTAATTATTTTATATGAATTCTGAGATTAAATTTTTCAGTAATTATCATAATGAAAGTGACAAATAGAGAAAATAAACCCAAATGAAATTAGATTATTTTTTGTTGTATAAAAAAAAAAAAAAAATTTTCAATAAAAAAACTTACAGTACTATTATTTGCAACACTCTAAATACTACATTTCATATTACTAACGTTGGATCTTGTCATAATTGATACTTATAAATAATCTCACTAATGGTAAATTTTTTGATGGTATAAGTAGATGGAACTTGTCATAGCTAAAATAATATTCTAAAAAACATCTCTAGTTGGTTCTCTGCCATTAATAGGAACATCATTTGAATGTAATCCCATTTGAATTGATGAAATTTTTTCTAACAATTTCTTAAATGCATTCATAACAATGTCTTCAGGTTTCATAGAACCAATTGTCTGGAATAAAAAATAAATAAGTCAAATATACATAAATCATTAATTGAATTTTTAACCACTAACCTCGATTTCAAAATAAAATCTATTTGGTTTTGCAGTAAAATCAAAAACTAGAAAAAGAAAAAATAAATGTCATTATATAAACCAATAATGTAGATATTTAATAAAAATTTAAAGAGAAAATGCCAATTACTTTCATCATCTAAAGGAGGAAAATCATCATTAGCATTTTTACTTTGTGGCCTATAATATTAATAATTTTAGTAAATAATAATAACAACTCTACATTTAATTAATCATTTAAATAACTATTACCATTCTTTTTTTTCATCTTCCTCTATCCAATAATGTGTATGCCTAAGTTTATTAAAAGGATCGTATTCAAAAGCAACCGCAGCACAAGGACTCCACTTAGCATGTTCCTTCGCCACTCCCTAGAAAAAGGACATTCGTGAAATTCTTTCTTTCTTTTTTTTTTTGTATTATAGTAAAATTAAATATATAAACCTTCTTAGCAATACATTTAACTTTAATTTCTTGACCTTTGCGAAGTTTTGCAATTAAAATACCCGCATCTTTTGGTCCCTCAGTGATCGGTGTAAACCGAGGATCGTGACTGACAAGATCTTTACTAGTCACATCTTTCGTTGTATCTTCTTCAGTGCATTTAACGTGTAAGTTTAACTCCACACTACATTCTTTACATGCTCCACTACAATTACAATCCTTAAAAGGATATGTAAGCATTGAACTAAATAAAATTAAATATCGATCATAACACATACTCGAGGATATTTGATTTTATCCGCTTCTGTACTATCCAATGGTATTAATCCTAATCGATGTGCAATAAACTCGTCAGCCAAAACGGACGTATTAAGATCGAATTGGACCATATCAATTGCTAACAAATATATAAGTATAATAAGAATAAAGTTGAATTTATTAAAACATCAATTTAATGGAACTTACATACCTATAGTTGCAACTTCTGATATCATTATACGTCTAAGAGCATTTGCCATACTAATGTAAAAAGAATAAAAATTATTTCAGTTTATTTTTCGTAAGAAACATTGAAATCGCCCATAATATATTGATGAACGCCTTCTATATTTTTTTTGATTATTGACGATGGAAGCACAGAGATAAACTTGTATTAATCCCATAATAAATAAAAGAAAATATCTTATAATACCTCAAATCTGTGTTTGTAAGTATAAATCTTATCCGTTCCCCAGTTAGCTCTTGAATTCTGATTTCTGGTTTATTCGCAGGACTAAACAGATCCATTTTTTATCTTAATAAAAAAGTTCACGCGATTAATTCAGCTCTGTAAACTATTTATAGGAAGCTTTGTGTAACGGCCGAGCAGCCAAGTATCTCGGCTTAGGAAAAACGTCATAATTAAAAATTGTGAACGAGGCGCAGTCGAGAAATATATAAAAATCAGAAATATCGTTCTAGTAGTCTTGAAAAACTAAAAAAAAAAACGAAATATATTTATTCATCACAAAAATAAAATGCCAGGACCACCACCACCTCCCCCACCACCACCACCACCTTCAGCTTCCGCTCCTCCACCTCCCCCAGCTGGCAGAAATGCTTTGCTTGATGATATTCAGAAAGGAAAAAGGTTGAAAAAGACTGTTACAAACGATCGTTCTGCACCTGTTGTAGAGGGTAATTAAAGATCATTTTTGGTGCAGCTTGGCCCTTTATTAAACTTTGATAGATCATTCAATTCGAAATAAAATTATTTAGTTTTTAAGACCTTACAGGGAAAAGCTGGTTGCAGTACGAGAAAATAATTTGATACCAATTTTTACCCGTGAACAATTAATTTGAAACATTATTTTTAATTAAATCACACAGGGAAAAAAACGTCGGTTAGTTCTACAGGTGGCGGTCGAGCTCGTTCGTCTAGTGCGTCGGGAGGATCTAACAATGTTACTGCCGCTGTCCCTGGTATGGGTGGTTTATTTGTAGGTGGCATGCCGAAATTGAAGAGTCGTGGCGGTATTGATACTGGAAGAGAAAAGAATAATAGTAAGTACTTTCATTTTCATATTGCATGATATTAACCAAATGCATTAACTATTTAAAATAATCATATTTTATTAGATCTAGCAGCACCGCCCCCCTTACCAGGTGGCCGTCCAAGAGCTCCAAGCGATGGAAATCAAACATCTTCTGCGGTTTCTATACCACAGTCAAAAGTTGAAGCTCCCCAATATCCATCAAGAAATACAATGCCAAAAAGTATTGGTAAAACTATAAGTCCAGAAACACCACCGCCACCTCTACCAAACCGAACAACGCCTAATGTACCACCATTGCCTTCACGCACAAAGACGAGCGCAGTGCCACCACAAATACCAACCCGTACACAGACGTCTAATACAACTTCTTCAGCTCCTCCTTTGCCTTCACGGAATTCCAAGGCACTACCACCGACAAATAAAAAGGCTCCCCCTCCACCACCAAATAAACCATCATCACTTTCAAATAAAGTAGCTCCTCCCCCTCCGGTTCGACCTTCATCTACTGTACAACGATCACAATCGCCTCCACCTCAACCACTTCGTTCTCGTTCTCCGAATCCGGGTAAACTAAGACCTGCTTCCTCGGCAGTATTACCCAACGTTGAAATGAATCACAGGGCACTTAGTCCATCAAGATCTATATGTATGTAGTAATTGAAGCGATTTATAAATTAAATCATTATTTTTCTTTATTAATGTTGTTTTCCCCTTTTTTAAAAAAAAAATTAATTAGCCACATCTTTTACACCGAAAGAGCCACCAACTACAGAGGGACGTTGGGCGTTTCGTCCATCATCCGATTTCCCACCTCCACGACCTTTTACAAAATCAACTAGAGAATATCCTTCCGGAGCTTCTAATGGAAGTTGTATGTATATAAATATTTTTTTTTGCTGTGGAAAATTTTATACATTATTAATATTTAAATTTATCACACAAATAGCGATTCCTCTAGATTTATCATCATTAACTCCGCAGCGTGCACCTCCTCCTCCACCACTTGGAGCATTTGGAGGAGGAAGAGTTAACGGGAGGCGGTGAAAATTGAGTTACTTATAATAAATTATTAAATTATTTTGGACAATTATTTTCTTAATTTATACCAGATTTATTCAGTACATTAAATTGAATAAGATAGAGGTTGATTTTGGAGAGGGAAAATATTGAGTTTGCGCGTTAGAGTAATTAGTGTGTGAACTTTAAATTCATATCAAGATGAATGATTTTATATTAAAAAAGAGATGATAATTTAAAAAGCCAATCTATGGAATATATAATTATTCAGTATTTTGAGCACTAGTGGATATCTATTTACTTTTCGTATTCTTATTAATGTTGGCCTTTCTATCTTTATATCAAAGAAATAATAGTCATTATCATTATTGATTTCATTTATACTTTGTTGCATATATTTTACAAAATACTCAGATTTTTGTATTATACCTCAAACAAAAAAAAACAATAAATAAATAAATACATAATTTTAATTGTTAGATATAACTAGAAAAGTTCAAATATTATATTATAAAAGCAGAAATGAAAAAATAGAATTAAATATAATTGATTATTATTTAATGGATTTTATTTATTTATTTTTTATTTTTAATTGCTATTAAATAGTTATTAAATGAAAAAATAGAAATATTAGTTCCATTTTATAATTTAATTATTAAGACTTAAATGATTAATAGAATAATTTAATATTGGATGTTTATAAAAATATTGTTTTAAATATCTAACTGTTATAATTAATTAATATAGTAAAATATATGTACAGTTAAAGCTTATTATAGTGAACTTTCAGTTCTAACCATTTTTGCTTCTTTATAGTGAACTTTATATTAATACAATAAAAAGTTTTTTTTTAACAAAAGTATTTAATTTTTAATTCAAAATCTTAAGAATTTCCAATTCTGTATATATTTACATCAATAAATTATTTATAATTTCTTTATTTAATAATAGTTCTATTGGTATTTCATAATATAATCTTATAAATTTAATTCCTTATACAAATAATTTTATTGTTATTATTCAATTATCAATAATAGAGTGATCCTAATTTTATGTTAAGTAATCTGTGAACAATATACTTAATGATTTCATATAATATTTACTATAATAAATATAAATTTATAATATATATTCTATATAAAATTTTTAAAAAATTTACTATCTAATATTGAAATTTATTAGTAAGTTAACTATAATAAATAATATTTATTAATAAATAAACTGAAGAAATAAAAAAAGTTCACTATAAATCACTATAAAGATAGTAGTTGACTGTACTTAAAATTATATTACCCAATATAATATACAGTAAAAATAAAAAATAAAAAGATATAATAAAAATAATATAATAAAATAAAATAAATTATATACAATTAGATCTATTTATAATTACTATTTTTTATCATGACGAGTCACCTTTGATCTCAAGGTGACAGGTCAGTCTTTTCCTTTAGGAGGGGCAGTATATTGATAATGTTTAAAACTAATTTAGAATACTTTATTTTATTTTATTTTTGTAAATATATTGTATTACTTTAACATAATTATCAATAAACATGATCGCACCTTTACATAGAAAAAAAAAAAAATTTATAATTACTATTTTAAATTATTATTAATAAATAAATATTAAATAAATATAATTATAGTATAAATAAAAATTTCATCAATATGGTATAGACCGAAAGGAGAGGATTTCCTCTAAGAAAGGATGTCTTCAAAGTGCATTTACTCTCCTAGCCTAAGTCTTTTACTGATAGTGTACACATGGTTACTCTATCATGAGTTAGCAGATGTGATTTAGTTTTTAGTGTTTAATTAGGATTTTTGACCTGTTCTATGTATATTGTATTAAAACTTGTCTTTTCAAAATCTTAATAAAGAATTATATACACTGCAGCAAAAAAAAATAAAAATTTTATCAATACTAGCTAATAATTTTTTATTATATAATAATATATACTTATAATATTATTGTATAATTACAATTTATCATATATACTATTTAGACAAAAGTAGCAAAACTTTATGTTTTATTAATTACTTAAAAATATATATAATACTAAGTAGATTAAGTAAGTTTAAAATTTTAACCATTATTAATAAAATTAATATTTAATTGATCAGCTACTATTCTTAATATATACCTTAATAATACTGAAAAATTCACCTATAAATTTTTATTTTCAGAATTTTTTAGAAAAACTAAAGCTATTTTTTATTAAAAATTTATAAAAAAAAGTTAACCTAAGCATTAAAATATATCAGTTTATATATTAAAACATTTAGAAAGTTACTTATAATTATTTACAATCTGAAATAATCTGACAATTTTGGACTTTACATTTTTAAATCTACTAACAAACTTTACTAAAATAAATACTAAAAATTACAAATTACTGATAGTTATACTGTATAAAAAGCATAATATATACGATAAGTTTAATAAAACTCTATTTGACTGGATTTGCATCCTTGTTAAATAAACTTTTACTATAGCATTAAAAGACTTTGCCAGTACTTTTTACAGGAAAATACAGAATACCAATTAAATAAGTTTCTGAAGCAGCTGAAATAAATTTTATAATAGACAAAGAATATGCCAATACTTTAAAGATTATATCAGATACAAAAATTTCTTCAATACTAACATATCAATTGACTTTAGTAATACCTTCTACAATAGAATCATCTATACCACAAGTTATTATTAAATCCAAATATTCATAAAAAAAGAAAACAAAATGCTAAAAAAGTAATATTTGCCAATTATATGACAAATAAAATATTACTTGAACTTATACTCATATAACTTAAATTGAATTAAATTGAATTTGCACTCAAATCAGAAATTTTTTAATTCAAGTCAGAACTGAAATTATATAATTAATAATATCAGCTGAACCCTATTTGTCAGTATTATATATTTCAATCTGAATAAAATTATGGATAATTTTTGGCTTGCATTTTAACATTGATTTAAATTAATTTGAGTCAAAAAATTCTTAACTTGTTTTATTTAAGTTGATTTATCCTAATTTAAGTCTAAGCTTTAATTACAAGTGTAGAAGGAATAATTTTACATAACGAACTGGAATTTATAATAAGTAGTAAATCAGAAAAAAAATTTAAATTAATTAAAGTTACTGAAGAAAAGGCAGCATATATAATTACAAAATATTAACTAATAGAATCAGCACTTGTTAATGTATATTAATGATATCCTAATATACAATATTCTTTTAATCTGAAAGAATTCAAAACTATTGCAATACCTTCATTTTAAAAGTTAATTATTTCTTTAAAAATTATATAACAAAAAAATATATAATTATTTAAGTTAAATTTGAAATGAATTAGTAATGCAAACTTTTATAAGATAGTAAAACTTGGATAACTTTGCTAGAAAATATTCTTGTGTAGGTCCCATGATCACCCTTACATTGACTATAAGGCCCTTGGCTAAGAAAACATATTTCACATATGTTTACCTGTATAGCATAATAGATCATTCAACAGTGCACGCATGGGGTATTTTAATAATATGATGAGCGGTTTATAAATTAATAATATTAGTTTAATTAGGTAGTTTAGTAATTTTATTATATATTACTTTAATTATTTTAATAAATTTATAAATGTGCTGCGATTTTTTTTTTTTAAAAAAAAAAGAAAATATTCTTGTTAAGTGGTTTTTAGTCACAACATCAGGAAATTTGTTTAGGCGTAATTTAGTATAATATTTCAGAGGTGGTGTAAAATTTTGAAATATTACACTAAAAACATAATATTACAAAAGTTTATACTCTTAAATTTGAATAATTATAGTAATTTAATAATATCTCACTATTTACTAATCCAATCAAAACAATCTATAGCTCATTGGAATCAGTTTATCATATCATGATAAATCGAATAATAGTAAAATTACATCTCTACAGTTGATAGAACACTTTATAGTATGCAATAAAGTTTTAAATTAATAGAAAGTCATTTATCAAATGTAAAGATGCGATTTTACTACCATTCAATTCGTCTTGATAAGCTGATTCCAATAAGCTATAGATTATCTTGATTGGATCAGTAGATAGCAAAATATTATTAAATTACTATAATTATTTAAATTTAAGAGCGTAAACTTTTGTAATATTACGTTTTTAGTGTAATATTTCAAAATTTTACACCACCTCCAAAATATTATACTTAAATTATGCCTAAACAAATTTTCTAATAAAGTCTTTTTATAAAAGAAAAAAAAAAATTTTAAACCATATTGTATAATATATTTAATTCAATTACAACTGGCTTTTTATTTTCCAATAACAAGTTCTATTTCTTTCCTCAAATACAATATTCAATATTATTATTAGGAAATATAAGATTATATTCTACTTTAAAAAATATAAAGATCTTAATAATTTTATTGGTAGAAAGTTTAAAATTAAAAACAAATTCTTCAATTAATACTATTACATTTCTCTAAAATTTCATAAAAAAAAAGCCAAATGAAAAAGCAAAAAGCAAGACTAATTCTTTTAACTTTAAAAAATTTCCCAAAAAAAACTTAATTACTATAAGTACTAATAAAATTCTATTTACTTATAAAATAAGTTACCTCTAGATCTAAGGAAAATTTTATTTACTATTAAAATAGGTTATCCTATGGCCTAAAGTAAGATTTACATATAAAACTCTTTAAAAATCCTACTATAAAAAGAAATTTTATGTTATATTGTTATGATTTTTTTTCTTTTTAATTAATTAACCAATAGAATTTAAGTAAATCTNGATAGATCCTATAACCTAAAGTAAGGTTTACATATAAAATTCTTTGAAAATCCTACTATAAAAGGAAATTTTATGTTATATTGTTATGATTTTTTTTCTTTTTAATTAATTAACCAATAGAATTTAAGTAAATCTTGAAGTAAGGTTTTATATAAAAGTAAAATTTTTACCAGTAATATATTTTAATAATAGGTGAAGTTATATAAAATTTTTTGCAGATCCTAAATAAAAAAAAAAATTTTATATTAGACATAACTAAAGCTCCGCATGAGCCAGCTTGAACCGAGCCACAGTCTGGCTCGGCTCAGCTCAAAAAAAAAAATTCTGGCCTGAGCCAGAATAAGCCGAGCCATAAAAATTTCAGCTCAAGCTAAAGTGAGCCGAGCCGAGCCATGATTTTCATGGCTCGAGCTAAGCCAGGCTCGAGCTTTATCTTCAGAAAAATGTTTCGCAACGTTTTTTTATTAAAAAATTAAAAAAAACGTTGCGAAACGTTTTTTTCTAAAATAATATTGTGAAAAAACGTTTTCACAACGTTTTTTTATTAAAGAACTTAAAAAAACGTTGCGAAACATTTTTTTCTAATATAATATTGTGAAAAAAATGTTTTCGCAATGTTTTTTTACTAAAGAATTTAAAAAAACGTTGCGAAAATGTTTTTTTCTAAAATAATATAGT